GCGCCCCTCCCCCTTTCTGCGCGGGCACAGAAACGAGCAGCTCTGGCCAGAGGAAGATCAGATGGTCGGGGAGAGCAGATAGACGGAAGACACTGCCATCATCTTCGGTTTATCCATATATTACTTGTTTCTTCTACTGCTTAGGTTGAACCAGAAGGGGGAGAGGGCACTCTGCAGCAAGTGGGACCCTCGTTACTAGGCAGTAACCGCCGCCCTGTATAAAAAAAGGACATGTCATACCACCCAAGAAGAGCGCATTGCTATCCTGTCTTGCCAAGGGAAGCACATACCCTCTGTGACTGTGTCCGCTGCTGGGCCAGAAGCAGTATTCGATGGTGGTCGGCAGGGTGGAGGTTGTTGGTGGGTGTAAAGAGAATCATTCAGGAGCATAGACGTCAAGGAAAAGAACACAGGATCAGTCGTTACTAGGTGTTATCTAGCAATCGTTTGTCCGTTTCTGCTTTGGAAGGACCCTAGATGGTTGAAAAGAACAGAAGTGCAGGCGTCGATTTGGACTGCCACTTAAAGGGACCAGAAGAACCACGAAAGACCACTGTGGAAGACGGGAAGGGGAAGATAAGGAGTGGGATGGAAGAAGGAGGGAGTGTGAAGGTGGTGGTGGGTAAAGTTAAGAATGGTTGGACATGGTGAAGGGATGTGGGGAAGGAATGGGTGGTAAGGTGAGAGAGGGTGGTGATAAAGGGTCTCTTAGCCAGAAGAGGGAGCAGAGAAGAGGCATCAGCAGGAGGAAGGACAAGTCTTGCCTGGTGTGGGGTCGTTCCCAGATAGCAGTAATGGAGAAGAGCGGGCACACGAGGAGAAAGAAAGACTGAAGAGGGAAGGAGGTAATTCGAAGAGACGAAAAAGGGTTGGGATAGTGGGAGGATGAAGCGAGCCACAGCGTGAGGGGAGGTAAGATTCGGCAAGGAGAGGGGTATTGGAAAGGTGCGTAGTCGCAGGGGGAGATAGCGGAGGTCGAGGGGAGCGGGAGAGGGCAAGGCGGCCGCCCCGCGTGAATAGGGCCTGGCGGGGCGGAGTGGCGAATAGACTGGTAAGGGGGCAGGCGGAATTCAGCAGGCAGACTAGCTATAGACCTGCACTATTTTCTTCAGTCTCATACACATCCTCCTGATTCCCTCCCCCTCTACTTTCTATTTCAATCCCCTGCTTCCCTTTCCCCCTGCGCTCCGCCTCTTTATCCTGGCCCGTCTTTGTTCCGCCTCGCCCCGCCGCTCCCCTCTTTTTTCCCACTCCGCCCCTTCTTTTCCCCTCCTGTCCTCTTTACCTCCCCCTCCTTCGGATTTCCTTCTTTCAGTCTCTCTTCTCCTCTTTTTATGAAGCTCTTCTGCGTGTTGTTTGATGACACCCTATTCAGACGTGTGCTCTTCTTACTCTTGCCAGCCTCTGAAGTGATGATATAGGCAGAAGACAAGATGGCAGTGTCTTCTGCTCCCCTCTGTCTTCCCTCTGGCCAGAGCAGTCGTTGGTGCCAGAAGGGGGAGGGGCCTCTGAAGTGATGATATAGGCAGAAGACAAGATGGCAGTGTCTTCTGCTCCCCTCTGTCTTCTCTCTGGCCAGAGCAGTCGTTGGTGCCAGAAGGGGGAGGGGCCTCTGAAGTGATGTTATAGGCAGAAGACAAGATGGCAGTGTCTTCTGCTCCCCTCTGTCTTCCCTCTGGCAGAGCAGCGTTGGTGCCAGAAGGGGGAGGGGCCTCTCAAGTGATGATATAGGCAGAAGACAAGATGGCAGTGTCTTCTGCTCCCCTCTGTCTTCTCTCTGGCCAGAGCAGCCGTTGGTGCCAGAAGGGGGAGGGGCCTCTGAAGTGATGATATAGGCAGAAGACAAGATGGCAGTGTCTTCTGCTCCCCTCTGTCTTCTCTCTGGCCAGAGCAGCGTTGGTGCCAGAAGGGGGAGGGGCCTCTCAAGTGATGATATAGGCAGAAGACAAGATGGCAGTGTCTTCTGCTCCCCTCTGTCTTCTCTCTGGCCAGAGCAGTCGTTGGTGCCAGAAGGGGGAGGGGCCTCTGAAGTGATGATATAGGCAGAAGACAAGATGGCAGTGTCTTCTGCTCCCCTCTGTCTTCTCTCTGGCCAGAGCAGTCGTTGGTGCCAGAAGGGGGAGGGGCCTCTGAAGTGATGTTATAGGCAGAAGACAAGATGGCAGTGTCTTTGTCCGGATGATAAAACAAAGGACCTGGCCTTTTGGGCCAGACTACAGATGATGATTCCAAGGAACTTAAACAATAAACCCTGATCAGCTTGAGGGCTTACGCAATCGCTGGGCCATTTTGCAAACATTAGTCATTTAAACCAGTCAACTGGACATTTCTTCATTGTTTTCCTGTTGCCCACCTCCCTTCCACCCCATTGGCTGAGAGGCCAAAGCAGAACTCAGGCCACCATTGGCTATCCTGCTGGCTTGCCAATGTCATAGTCAATCACAATGAAGCTGGCTCAGGGAGTGGGCATGGAAACTTTTGGATCTGAAATCTATACACTCTGTATTTACCTGCCTAGCAGACATGTCGATTTGTAATTACTGTAATCGCCATGCTTTCCAGTTGGAATGAAATAAACATCTCAGTGGCTTCTGCTTCAACTTGGTGAGATTTATTTTGCAATCTTGGCTTCTCTTTTCTCACCAGGCAACCCACAATGGCTTGGGCCTAATCCACAGCCATTCTAAAATGCTCAACAACATCTCGTCCCCACCAAACGCAACTACAATGGTGGTGGGACCGAGAGCAGGGTCTCCTCGGGTGATCTTAAGGTCCTTGGTGGTTCGTAAGGGGAGACAGGTAAGTTGGGCCAGAGCCATTTATAGGTCAAAACCAGCATTTTGAATTGTGCTCGGAAGCTAATCGGCTGTAGCAGCAGACCGCAGCTTGTTTGTTGGGACGCAAATGGGGCAGAAGAACGACATCAGGCTCCAGCTAGGTTCCAAGTTCAGATTTACTTATTCCATTGGAAAGGGGTGAGAAACCTCAGCACATAGCACCCCATCATTTGAACAGAGCACATATTTATACACAATTGTTTATATAACTTGTGGACATTAATCAGTTATTAATACATAGAAAAACATCTTAATCATCTTGATAATCAGCTGGAAACTCTGAAGTCAGCGTATTTAGGTCATATTCCAATATCCCCTATGACCTTATGCTGGTCAGCAGTTCCGACATGTCCCGGGTTAAGTAATTCATTCTTCATTTTTTTGAAAGTCATACTTTTTATTTAGTTTCTATTGCAATCATATCAAGACACCAGGTAGCATTCCAATATTACAGCTAACCTCCTAACCTTAATTGGGTAGGTTATTTATTGCATGTTATTGCCTTTTACCAATGCCATCACCTTGTTTATTGGTATCAATGCCCTCTAAACTACAGAGGACTTAGTTCCCTAATCTGCTGATGACCATAATTATAAATGTGTCTTTGTTCGGTGGAAAATGAGCTGATTGAGAGTTAATCACATAGGTAACCTTAGGTTGTCTTATAGGGTCTCTAGGTTTGATCTTAGGGGAACACTTCTAGGGTCGCTCCTTCAGGCAGCCAGTGGAGCTGGTGTAGCAAGGGAGATGTGTGCTCCCTATACCCCGCTCCCATGAGCAACCTGGCTGCTGAGTGTTGGACTAGCTGAAGCTTCCAGGCAGTCTTCAGAGGCAACCCCACATACAGTGCATTGCAGTAGTCTATCCGGGATGTTACCAGAGCGTGGACCACCGTGGCCAAGTCAGACTTCCCAAGGTATGGCGCAGCTGGTGCACAAGTTTTAATTGTGCAAAAGCTCCCCTGGCCAAGATCTGGGGTTCCAGCGTGTTCCACAGGAGGGGAGCCACCACTGAGAAGACCCTGTCTTTCGTCCTCACCAAACGCGTTTGCGAAGAAGGCAAGATCGAGAGCAGGGCTTCCCTAGACAATCTTAAACTTCGAGACAGGACATAGGGGGAGATACATTTGGACAAGTAAGCTGGGCCGGAACCATATAGGGCTTTATAGGTCAAGACCAGCACTTTGAATTGTGCTTGGAAGTGGACTGGCAGCCAGTGGAGCAGACACAATGGGGTGGTGTGCTCCCTGTAGGTCGTTCCAGTGAGTAATCTGACTCCCACCCATTGGACTAGTTGGGGTTTCCGAACAGTCTTCAAAAGCAACCCCACGTAGAGTGTGTTGCAGTAATCTATTTGGGATGTAACAAGGGCATGGACCACCGTGGCCAGATCAGACTTCCCAAAATACAGCCAAATCTGGCACACAAGTTTTGACTGTACAGCTTCTGCACGAAGGTAATGATGCTCCATGCAGTCATGCTGGCCATATGACCTTGGTAGTATCTACAGACAACACCAGCTCTTCAGGCTTAGAAATTGAGATGAGCACCATCCCCCAGAGTCGGACACGACTAGACTTAACGTCAGGGAAAACCTTTACCTTTATCTATAATGCCCTAAGACTCCCAAATCCTTTTCACACATCCTATTTTCCAACCAGATGTCACTCATCTATAGCTGTGCATTTCACTTTCATTATCTAAGTCTTACCATGTTGGAGCATGTAAGTAAGTTTGTGTGTGTGTGTCAACTGTAAAATAAGATGCACGAATCTGGTTGGTTGGGCTATGTCCAGGGAGCTGGCTGAGCCTGGGACTTTTGAATACTGTTACATTTTTCAGGCTTGAGCTATGCACGTTCTTGCAGAGAAGCAGCCAGAAGAAGAAAGACAGACAGTTTGGAGTGTGCACTTGCTTTATGAGCTGCTGGAAGGAGTTTCTCCACAAGGACAAAGAAGGACCATTTAAAAGTTCTCATAAAAGGACATTATATGAGTAGAGGCAACTGAAAACATGATTATATATATGTTGTTCTGAATTATGAACTGTAAACTTCTTGTTCTTTAATTATCACCAGCGTGGCATATTTTCTTTCTCTGGCAAGAGTGCGTGGGCTGGTCAAATGTGAACTGCACTTGATCTTCATATCGTCACATACCATACATTTATCCCAATTGAAATTCATTTTATTATTTTTGTCCCAGCTTTTTGGATGTTTTCTCTACTGTAGGCACTCTCTGGTGGTTCAAATGGTATGGGCTTTCAGCTGTGTGGATTCTCTCGTAGCTCACAAAGGAACAACTCTGAGCAAAACATTTCCCATAATCCTGGTATCAGTACAGTTTATCTCTTATGCAGAGTCTCTCATGGGTCACAAGATATTTTATTTATTTATTTATTTACAGTATTTCTATTCCGTCCTTCTCACCCCGCAGGGGACTCAGAGTGGATTACAATGTACATATACATGGGAAACATTCAATGTCATAGACACACAACATATATAGACAGACACACAGAGGCTACTTAATATTCCAGCTTTTTCATGAGGGTATTCTGGCCACCAGGGGAGCTGTCGCTTCACCGTCCATTTGTGACACTGATGAAGTACTTCCTCATTCTTTGCATGCTTGCTGGAGATTTTTATGGTGTTGTAAATTAGCCTCCCCACATACGTGGTACCTAAATTTCCTACTTGATAGATGCAACTATCTTTTAGGCTGCAAAGGTCAACAGCAAATTGGTCGGAAGCTCACTCCAACCCAGGCTGGCTTCAGACTCATGACCTCTCAGTCAGCAGTGATTTAATGCATCTGATTCCCAGCCAGCTGCGCCAGTCCCGGTGGCATTTGCAAAATAATAGTTTCCATCATCTTGACACTGATGTGTCTTTGTTGTGTGGATTCTAAGGTGATTTACTAAGCCTCGCCTGTCAGCAAAACATTTCTCACACTCCGGACATTTATGTGGTTTTTCTCCTGTGTGGGATTTCCAGTGGTTTATAAGGTGTGCATTCTGAGCAAAAAATTTCCCACACACCTGGCATTGGTATGGCTTCTCTCCTGTGTGAAGTTTTTTGTGCCTCAACAAGTCTGAACTGTAAGCAAAACATTTCCCACAATCTGAACATTGATACGGTTTTTCTCCGGTGTGGATTCTCTGGTGGCCCGCAAGAGATGAACTTCGAACAAAACATTTCCCACATTCCTTGCATTGGTATGGTTTCTCTCCTGTGTGGGATCTGAAGTGGTCTATAAGGTGTGTATTCTGGGCGAAACATTTCCCACACTTCTCACATTTATATGGTTTCTCTCCTGTGTGGATGCTCTGGTGTCTCAGAAGGGATGACTTGCAAGGAAAACATTTGCCACACACCTGGCATCTGAATGGTTTCTCTCCTGTGTGGACTCTCTGGTGGGTCATAAGGCTTGAATCCCGAATATAACATTTTCCACACTCCAGGCACTTGTATTTTTTATGTTCTGTATGCTCATGAGTCACAGGGGATGGCTTTTGGGAAAAAGAGTCTACACTGACTTGATGCTGATATAGTTTGTTTGCTTTGTGAAGTTTTTCGTGGCTCACCAAGTGTGGCATGTAAAAAAAACACTTCCCACACTCCTGGCACCTGTATGATTTTTCTCCCATGTGAAAGCTCTCGTGTTTTAACAAGTGTGAACTCTGGAGAAATGATTTGTCACCATCCTGGCTCTTGTATGTTTTATCTCGTGTGTGGATTTCCTGATGATTCATTAATACGGACATGGAAGTGAAACATTTTCCACACTCATGGCATATGAAACCCTCCATTCCTTCAGAGATTTCTTGTTGGTCCATATGTGGCCATTTGTAATCAACAACAACACGTTTCCCTAATATTTTCCATTTCAAAAGTTTTTTCCCAGCATGGAGTGTCTTGTGACGCACAAGAGCCATATTTTGGGCAAAACGTTTCCCACATACATTGCATCTGTAGGGCTTTTCTCTGGGAGAACCTCCATCTTCTTGGTGGGTTTGCTGGCGTCTCAGAAGGCCCCCACTGTGTCCCAAATGCTTCCTGTGTTTGGTGTTCCAGTTATCTGCTATGAAGAAGAAGGACAAAAACAATCATTCCTCAGCATGAGTGATAAGAACTCTAAGGGACTGGGATAAGAAGTGGATTGAGATTGTTTTAAAAACAACATAGACCTGGCAGAAAAAGAAGATATCCATGCTGTCCTCTCTCCACCCCTTGTGCAGTAAAGATGGGAATGGTTTGACCACCTAGAACAGTGTTTCTCAACCTAAGGGTCGGGACCCCTGGAGGGGTCGCGAGGGGGTGTCAGAGGGGTCGCCAAAGACCATCAGAAAATACTATTTTCTGTTCGTCATGGGAGTTTTGTGTGGGAAGTTTGGCCCAATTCTATCCTTGTTAGGGTTCAGAATGCTCTGTGATTGTAGATGAACTATAAATCACAGCAACTACAACTCCAAAATGTCAAGTCTGTTTTCCCCAAACTCCACCAGTATTTACATATGGGCATATTGTGCATTCGTGCCAAGTTTGGTCCAAATTTATCATTGTTTGAGTACACAGTGCTTGCTGGATGTAGGTGAACTACAACTCCAAAACTCAAAGTCAATGCCCACTAAACCCTTCCAGTATTTTCTGTTGGTCATGGGAGTTCTGTGTGCCAAGTTTGGTTCAATTCCATCATTGGTGAGTTCAGAATGCTCTTTGATTGTAGGTGAACTATAAATCCCAGAAACTACAGCTCCCAAATGACAAAATCGATCTCCCCCAACCCCACCAGTATTCAAATTTGGGTGTATTGGGTATTTGTGCCAAATTTGGTCCAGTGAATGAAAATACATCCTGCATATCAGATATTTACATTATGATTCATAACAGTAGCAAAATGACGTAACAATGACGTTGTTATGAAGTAACAACGAAAATAATTTTATGGTTGGGGATCACCACAATGTGAGGAATTGTATTAAGGGGTCGTGGCATTAGGAAGGTTGAGAACCACCGGCCTAGAGCCTCTAAGAGAGAGTTAAGTAACATATGTTCCAGAGGTTACCTGTTGCTCAGCCCAGCCTGTTTTTTTTAATTCTGTCTCTTTCTCATTCAAAGACTTCCCTTTTTCTCTAGCTGTGCTTTTGAATTGCTACCACCCCTTTCATAGTCATTCCTTCCTTTTTATTTCTCTCCCCAACCTCCAGTTCTGTCATGATATGATATATCATATCACAGATATATAAATCCATTGTCATTTCACAGATATATAACCCCATTGTCCTATTTCCAACAGACCTCACTACCTCTGAGGATGCTTGCCATAGATGCAGGCGAAACGTCAGGAGAAATGCCTCTAGAACATGGCCCTATAGCCCGAAAAAACCCACAAGAACCTAGTTATGATATATGTTTTGAATGAAATTGTATGAAACGTCTATGAATGAGGCCTCATTGGGCTGAAGATACCATCCTAAGGAATAAGGCCTGGAAAAACAACTACAATTCATGGATTGTAATGAAAAGTTGCTGATTTATTTATTTATTTATTTGCAGTATTTCTATTCCGCCCTTCTCACCCCGAAGGGGACTCAGGGTGGATCACAATGTACATATACACAGCAGACATTCAGTGCCGTTTTTGACATACAAGACATACATGATGAGAACTGTGACAATGATTAACTGTTGACATTGCTGACTTGATGAACTTTTGGGGGAAAATAACGTGTTTGGAAATAGAATTCCCTATTTTGACCGGGCTGTGGTGCAGTTAGCTGGGAGCTAGCTGCATTAAATCACTACTGACCGAGAGGGTCGGAGTGAGCTTCCAGTGATTCAACTAGTTTGCTGTCGACCTTTGCAGCCCGAGAGACAGTTGCATCTGTCAAGTAGGAAATTTAGGTATCGCTTATGTGGGGAGGCTAATTTAACTGATTTACGATGCCATAAAACCTTCCAGCAGCGTGCAGAAGAATGGGGAAGTACTCCATCAAGGACTTGGTGTCACAGTGGACGGTGAAGCAGCAGCTCCTCTTGTGGCTGGAATCCAGCATGTGTAGAAGGGCCTCATGAAGCTGGAAAAGCTTGGACACAGTAGGAATGTTAAACTGCCTCTGTCTATATATGTTTTATGTCTAACTGGCATTGAATGTTTGCCATGTATATATGCGCATTGTAATTTGCCCTGAGTCCCCTGCAGGGTGAGAAGGGTGGAATATAAATACTGTGAATAAATAAATAAATAAATAAATAGAAATCCCCATGAGTGAAGGAGCCTTACCAAGAGAGTCCACCAACCCATGAATCTCCTCCATGACCTGCACGTGCAATGCTTTCTGATCAGGACTCAGGAGAGCCCACTCCTCCGGGGAGAAATGGACATCCACGTCCTCAAAGGCAATTGGGCCCTGGTGAAAACAGAAAACATTTTCTCACATATGGTCTATCAAGGAAAAAAAAACTACAAGATTTCAACAAAAGATTTACATTCCTTTTGGCAGAGTAGAAAAACTACAAACCACATGCCATAATTGCAAGCTTCGTAGTGTCATCTGGTTGGTCACAGTCAGAACCACTCCTTTATTGGCACATAGAAACATAGAGTTGGAAGAAACCACCATGTATAAGTATGTCAGAGACATGTATAAGTATGTGAGAGGAAGTCATAGGGAGGAGGGAGCAAGCTTGTTTTCTGTTGCCCTGGAGACTAGGATGCAGAACAATGGCTTCAAACTACAAGAGAGGAGATTCCACCTGAACATGAGAAAGAACTTACTGACTGTGAGAGCTGTTCATCAGTGGAACTCTCTGCCCCGGAGTGTGGTGGAGGCTCCTTCTTTGGAGGCTTTTAAGCAGAGGCTGGATGGCCATCTGTCAGGGGTGATTTGAATGCAATTTTCTGCTTCTTGGCAGAATGGGGTTGGATTGGATGGCCCACGAGGTCTCTTCCAACTCTAGGATTCTAGGTTATTGAGTTCAACGTCATTTTACCATGTTTGCTTGTTTTTTTCTTCTAATACTGTGATGGTTCTCAACCTGTGTGTGCCCAGGTGTTTAGGCCTACAACTCCCAGAAATCCCAACCAGTTTACCAGCTGTTGGGATTTCTGGGAGTTGAAGGCCAAAACATCTGAGGATCCACAGGTTGAGAGCCACTATTCTACTGACATAACCAAATAACACCTTTTTATTGTTTTGAATCTCTCTGGCAAACCTGAGCTCATTTTCTGCTTTACCTTGTCAGACCTTTTCCCTGCTTATGGTGGTTAGTCAACTGAATTCTTTGGTGATTTCGCCCCTTTTCCATTTCTCGAACACATCCCATTTAAATCTTTGCTCAGCTAAAAGTTCTTTGAATATCCATTCTGGTTTCTTTAGACTACTCTTATTTATTTATTTATTTTTCCTCCCTGTTGGCGCTGTTTGCAATTGTGCTTTCAGTATCTCACTTTTTAAGAAACTCCCATTCGATCTTTTCTGTTTCAACAGATGTTTGATGATTAAGCCTAAAACAAGTGACAGCCAGGCAGCTCCCTTCCTCCTCTCCCAGGAATCCTTCTACTTACCTGATCGAGTTCCACTCCATCACAACAGGGAAGACTCGACTGTGGATTTGCCAACATCATTCCAGTCCCTGAGGGAGAGAGCAAGGGGTGGAAAGCTGATCACATAGACATGTCTCAGAAGTTACAATTACAGTCCTGAAAAGAAACCTATGAGGAAATGGCCCTATGAACACAGGAGCATTCTCCAGCCCAGGAACATGTAACATTTCAGAGCTTAGGCCATTTTATCTCAACCAGTGCTGTGAGCAGGTTGGACTGAAACTAGTACTGGGCTTGGTAGTTCAACTGACTGAAGTTTTTCTTTGTTGTCTGTTAGTCTTCCAGCTCAGTTTCATGGCTCATCTTAGCTTCGGGTTTCACCGTACAGCTGATATTTCAGTCCCACCAAACAGTATGTAAATGCAGAGGTATAACAAGAAAGAAAACTGCAAAGCACACTTTTGCAACCGAATAGTACCTATATAGAATCCTAGAGTTGGAAGAGACCTCATGGGCCATCCAGTCCAACCCCCTGCCAACAAGCTGGACAATTGCATTCAAAGTACCCCCCACAAATGGCCATTCGGCCTCTGTTTAAAAGCCTCCAAAGAAGGAGCCTCCACCACACTCCGGGGCAGAGAGTTCCACTGCTGAACAGCTCTCACAGTCAGGAAGTTCTTCCTAATATTCAGATGTAATCTCCTTTCTTGTAGTTCGAAGCCATTGTTGGAGCAATGGCTTCAAACTACAAGAGAGGAGATTCCATCTGAACATGGGGAAGAACTTCCTGACTGTGAGAGCGTTCAGCAGTGGAACTCTCTGCCCCGGAGTGTGGTGGAGGCTCCTTCTTTGGAAGCTTTTTAAACAGGCTGGATGGCCATCTGTCAGGGGTGCTTTGAATGCAATATTCCTGCTTCTTGGCAGGGGGTTGGACTGGATGGCTTATGAGGTCTCTTCCAACTCTTTGATTCTATGAAGCCATTGTTTGGTGTCCTAGTCTCCAGGTCAGCAGAAAACAAGCTTGCCCCCTCCTCCCTATGACTTCCCTTCATATATTTATACATGGCTATCATGTCTCCTCTCAGCCTTCTCTTCTGAAGGGTAAACATTTATTTATTTATTTATTTACGACATTTATATGCCGCCCTTCTCACCCCGAAGGGGACTCAGAGCGGCTTACAAGGTATATATACATACAATATATTATATTATTAGCATAGTACAATATCAGTTTTAAATATTGCTATATTGTACTATACCAATTATATTAGGCTCTTTAAGCCACTCCTCTTAGGGCTTGTTCTGCAGACCCTTGATCATTCTAGTTGCCCTCCTCTGGACACATTCTAGCTTGTCAATATCTCTCTTCAATTGTGGTGCCCAGAAATGGAGGTGGCAACTCCTTTCCTGTAGTTTGAAGCTACTGTTCCGCATCCAAGTCTCCAGGGCAGCAGAAAACAAGCTTGCTCCCTCTTCCCTATGATTTTCCCTTACATATTTCTGCATGGCCCTCATTGTGTCTCAGTCTTCTCTTCTGCAGGCTACCCATGCCCAGCTCTTTCAGACGATTTTGAAATTAAATTTGAAGAGGCACGAATGGAGGGCGAAAGAGAGAAACGTGCCAAGAGGAAGGCCTTCCACCTGGAAACCAATGCCCTCACTGTGGGAGAAGATGCAGGTCAAGAACAGGGCTCCACAGTCACTGCCAGGACACTATAGAATCATAGAATCAAAGAGTTGGAAGAGACCTCATGGGCCATCCAGTCCAACCCCCTGCCAAGAAGCAGGAATATTGCATTCAAATACCCCTGACAGATGGCCATCCAGCCTCTGTTTAAAAGCTTCCAAAGAAGGAGCCTCCACCACACTCCGGGGCAGAGAGTTCCACTGCTGAACGGCTCTCACAGTCAGGAAGTTCTTCCTCGTGTGCAGATGGAATCTCCTCTCTTGTAGTTTGAAGCCATTGTTCCGCGTCCTAGTCTCCAAGGAAGCAGAAAACAAGCTTGCTCCCTCCTCCCTGTGGCTTCCTCTCACATATTTATACATGGCTATCATATCCCCTCTCAGCCTTCTCTTCTTCAGGCTAAACATGCCCAGCTCCTTAAGCCGCTCCTCATAGGGATTGTTCTCCAGACCTTTTATCATTTTAGTCGCTCTCCTCTGGACACTACACTTGGAGGACCATCCTATTCAGACAACGAGGGATTGCCTAAGTAAGTAAGTAAATAAGTACAAAAACCTCCCTCCCATTTGCCTTTCGGTCCAAGATGGAGAAGGCCTGGGAAGAAGGCAAGACTCACCAGGAGGGGAGAAAAGCCGAGAAGGATGAGAAACCTGGGCTTCTTAGGTCTGCTGGGCCTTCTTTGCTTCAAGGGCCTCTCTTTGAGTTGTTATTTCTAACTGTTTGGGGTTTCTTTCAGGGGTTGGTGTTTCCAATGGGCTCCTTTTTAATGAGGCACCACTTTTTTACCCTCCACCTGGTATAAAAAAGTGGTGCCTCATTAAAAAGGAGCCCATTGGAAACACCAACCCCTGAAAGAAACCCCAAACAGTTAGAAATAACAACTCAAAGAGAGGCCCTTTAGTCGCTCTCCTCTGGACACTACACTTGGAGGACCATCCTATTTATAAAAGGGTAGCAAATTGTGAGTTATATAGTTGATATCTCTCCAGCAAAGGATCACCGCCTTGTCGGGGCGCTGGAGCTTGAGCACCTCAATGATGTCATGAGTGAAACCGTGAAGGGCCACCCAAGACGGGACGGGTGTGGCAGAGAGGTCAGACCAAGCGTGATCCCTGGGGAAGGCAATGGCAAACCACTCCAGTATCCTTGCCAAGAAAACTAAATGGACCAGTACAACCAGAGATATGTCGGTATGCCATTGGAAGATGGGACTCCCAGGTCGGAAGATGGCCAAAATGCTGCTGGGGAGGAGCAGAGGATAAGTTCAACTAGCCCCAGATGTGATGACGCAGCTAGCTCAAAGCCGAAAGGAAGGCTAGCGGCCGACGGTACTGGAGGTGAACGACGAATCCGATGCTCTAAAGATCAACACACCATAGGAACCTGGAATGTAAGATCTATGAGCCAGGGCAAATTGAATGTTGTTATTGGTGAGATGTCAAGACTAAAGATAGACATTCTGGGGGTCAGCGAACTGAAATGGACTGGAATGGGCCACTTCACATCAGATGACCACCAGATCTACTACTGCGGACAAGAGGAACATCGAAGAAATGGAGTAGCCTTCATAATTAATAAGAAATTCGCTAAAGCGGTGCTTGGATACAACCCAAAAAATGACAGAATGATCTCAATTCGAGTGCAAGGAAAGCCTTTCAACATTACAGTGATCCAAATATATGCCCCACCCACAGCTGCTGAAGAAGCAGAAGTAGATCAGTTCTATGAGGATCTGCAGGACCTACTGGATAATACACCAAAAAGAGACATTATTTTCATTACAGGAGACTGGAATGCCAAGTGGGAAGTCAAATGACAACAGCGATCACAGGCAAGCATGGTCTGGGAGAACAAAATGAAGCGGGACGCAGGCTGATGGAATTTTGCCAGGAAAACTCGCTGTGTATAACGAATACTCTCTTCCAACAACCTAAAAGACGGCTTTACACATGGACCTCACCAGACGGTCAACACCGAAATCAGATTGACTACATCCTTTGCAGCCAAAGGTGGAGGACATCCATCCAGTCGGTGAAAACAAGACCTGGGGCTGACTGTAGCTCAGATCACGAACTTCTATTGCCAAATTTAGAATAAAACTAAAGAGATCAGGGAAAATACACAGACCAGTTAGATATGATCTCACTAACATTCCTAGCGAATATACAGTGGAAGTGAAGAACAGATTTGAAGGACTAGATTTAGTAAACAGAGGCCCAGAAGAACTATGGACAGAAGTCCGCGACATTGTTCAGGAGGCGGCAACAAAGTACGTCCCAAAGAAAAAGAAAACCAAGAAGGCAAAATGGTTGTCTGCTGAGACACTGGAAGTAGCCCAAGAAAGGAGGAAAAGCAAAAGGAAACAGTGAAAAGGGGAGATATGCCCAGTTAAATGCGCAATTCCAGAGGTTAGCCAGAAGAGATAAGGAACTATTTTTAAATAAGCAATGCATGGAAGTGGAGGAAGACAACAGAATAGGAAGGACAAGAGACCTCTTCCAGAAAATTAAAAACATTGGAGGTAAATTTCAGGCAAAAATTGGTATGATAAGAAACAAAGATGGCAGGGACCTAACAGAAGCTGAAGAGATCAAGAGAAGGTGGCGAGACTATACAGAAGATCTGTATAGGAAGGATAATAATATTGAGGATAGTTTTGACGGTGTGGTGAATGAATTAGAACCAGACATCCTGAGGAGTGAGGTTGAATGGGCCTTAAGAAGCATTGCTAACAACAAGGCAGCAGGAGACGACGGGATCCCAGCCGAACTGTTTAAAATCTTAAAAGATGATGCTGTCAAGGTGATGCATGCCATATGCCAGCAAATATGGAAAACACAAGAATGGCCATCAGACTGGAAAAAATCAACTTATATCCCCATACCAAAAAAGGGAAATGCGAAAGACTGCTCAAACTTCCGTACAGTGGCCCGTATTTCTCATGCCAGTAAGGTAATGCTCAAGATCCTGCAAGGAAGACTCCAGCAATACATGGAGCGAGAGTTGCCAGATGTTCAAGCTGGGTTTAGAAAAGGCAGAGGAACGAGAGACCAGATTGCCAATATCCGCTGGATAATGGAGGAAGGCAGGGAGTTTCAGAAAAACATCTATTTCTGTTTTATTGACTATTCTAAAGCCTTTGACTATGTGGATCATAATAAATTGTGGCAAGTTCTTAGTGGTATGGGGATACCAAGCCACCTTGCCTGTCTCTTGAGGAATCTGTGTAATGTCCAAGTAGCAACAGTAAGAACAGACCACGGAACAACAGACTGGTTAATGACTGGGAAAGGAGTTCAGCAGGGCTGTATACTCTCACCCAACCTTTTTAACTTGTATGCAGAACACATCATGCGATGTGCGGGGCTGGATGAATGCAAAGCTGGGGTGAAAATAGCTGGAAGAAACATTAACAACCTCAGATATGCAGATGACACCACTCTGATGGCCGAAAGCGAGGAGGAGCTGAGGAGCCTTCTAATCAAGGTGAAAGAAGAAAGCGCAAAAGCCGGGTTGCAGCTAAACGTCAAAAAAACCAAGATTATGGCAACAAGAATGATTGACAACTGGGAAATAGAGGGAGAAAATGTGGAGGCCGTGACAGACTTTGTATTTCTAGGTGCAAAGATGACTGCAGATGCAGACTGTGGCCAGGAAATCAGAAGACGCTTCCTTCTTGGGAGGAGAGCAATGTCCAGTCTCGATAAAATAGTGAAGAGTAGAGACATCAGACTGGCAACAAAGATCCGCCTAGTCAAAGCCATGGTATTCCCTGTAGTAACCTACGGATGTGAAAGCTGGACCTTAGGGAAGGCTGAGCGAAGGAAGATCGATGCTTTTGAGATGTGGTGTTGGAGGAAAGTGCTGAGAGTGCCTTGGACTGCGAGAAGATCCAACCAGTCCATCCTCCAGGAAATAAAGCCCGACTGCTCACTGGAGGGAAAGATACTAGAGACAAAGTTGAAGTACTTTGGCCACATCATGAGGAGACAAGAAAGCCTAGAGAAGACAATTATGCTGGGGAAAGTGGAAGGCAAAAGGAAGAGGGGCCGACCAAGGGCAAGATGGATGGATGGCATCCTTGAAGTGACTGGACTGACCTTGAGGGAGCTGGGGGTGGTAACGGCCGACAGGGAGCTCTGGCGTAGGCTGGTCCATGAGGTCACGAAGAGTCGGAGACGACTGAACGAATGAACAACAACAACAACACCTGGTATCTACCCGAGCCCCTTCTTTGAGAAGCTTCCGCTTCCGGTCATGTGACTGAAGCCAACCCAGGCTCTTGGCGGAAGCAAAGGAGACCAGCAGGCTCCTCCCCTGAATGACGTAGGTGGGTAGCAGAGTGTTCTCTTAAAGGTGCAGTGTTTTGTTTTGTTTTTAGCCATGGCTCAATGGCATGGAATCCATGAAGTTTTTTTTTAATCTATATAAATAAAAATGTAATGTTCATTTGTGGGATTATCAGGACTCAAAAACCACTGGAAGAATTGGCACCAAATTTGGACACAAGACACCTAACAACCCAATGTATGTCCTTCACTCAAAAAATTGATTTTGTCATTTGGGAGTTGTAGTTGCTGGGATTTATAGTACGCCTACAATCAAAGAGCATTCTGAATCCCACCAAGGATGGAATTGAACCAAACTTGGCACACAGTTCTCCCATGACCAACAGAAAATACTGGAAGGGTTTGGTGGGCAGTGTGCTGGTACAGCTGTACCAGGAGCTCCTATTTTGTTTGCTTTGCAGTTAATGTTTGTTTGCAATCCCAGGCTTGGGATTTTGCAGCAGGGGGTTTCCTGTTATAATTTGCATTTATAGGGTAGGCCACCTGCCAATTATAGTTAAGATCCCTGGTCCCGCCCCCTTTTTGGAGGGAAGGGGCCATTTTTCAGTTAGTCACAGCAAGGGAAGCCAAGGCAGAGGATGCATACAGACGTTCCTCCTGTGCAAAGGCTTCGTCTTTTAAGACTTCCTGGGGAAGAACAGATTAAAGGCCTCTACGGATTCCCAAAGGGTTCCAGGGAACAGCTTCACAGCCCTGAGGACCTCCGGAGGGAATAACAGCTCTTCATCTTCAGCTAAGTGATTTCAAGCCTGATGGTACGTCTGTTCGGTTCTGAGACGCAGTTCAGCTGGTAGCAGACTCAAACTAGTTAGGTTTAAGTTCACAGCAGCCTGGGAGGAGCTTTAAAGGGGAATTTTTCTGTTAAACAAAGTTTCTTGAAGATAGTGCCTGTTTCCTGCAAACAAGACTGCAAAAGCCAATAGACTACTTAGAAATTTTACAATTCCTGCCTGTTCACTAATAAAGACTGTTGTATTTGAGCTTAAGTCTCAAAGCCTGTTTAATAGGGAAAATTCCTCTAAAGCCTCCTTCTCGGGCCCCCGGGCTTCCCGCTGGATGCAAGCCTTGCATCCTCTCTAAGAAGCATTTAATTTTAGCTCCAGCGGTGACAGAACAGGCAGTGTCCTTTGGTTTTGGAGTTATAGTTCACCTTCATCCAGAGAGCACTGTGGACTCAAACAATGATGGATCTGGACCAAACTACACGAATACTCAATATGCCCAAATGTGAACACTGGTGGAGTTTGGGGAAAATAGAATCTTGACATTTGGGAGTTGTAGTTGCTGGGATTTGTAGTTCACCTAAAATCACAGAGCATTCTGAACCCCACCAATAATAGAATTGGGCCAAACCTCCCACACAAAACCCGCATGACCACCAGAGTGGGCCACAGCAATGCGTGGCAGGGGACGGCTAGTTGTATATAAAAAAATGTATTCTTAAATTTGTGGGATTAACATAACTCAAAAACCACTGAGCCAATTGACACCAAATTTGGACACAATACACGAATCAGGCCAACGAGTGACCATCACTTAAAAAAACACTGAAAAACACAGCGGAAGAGACTTAAAAAGCAAGAAAATAAAAAAAACACTAGTATATGTGTGGGTGTGTATCAGGTGCCCAAACAAATTTGTGAACATCCTGCGGCTCCTCCATGATGGCAACAGTCTTGGACAGCAATGGCTCCCAAAGTGACCCATTTAAGGTGGAATCAGGTGTCAAACAGGGATGTGTTATTGCCCCAACTTTATTCTCCATCTTCATCGCTATGATACTTCATCTTGTTGATGGGAAGCTTCCCACCGGAGTGGAAATCATCTATCGGACAGATGGCAAGCTATTTAACCTCAGCAGACTGAAAGCCAAAACCAAGGTTACAACAACATCTGTTATAGAACTCCAGTATGCTGATGACAACGTCGTCTGTGCGCATTCAGAAGAAGATCTACAAGCCACTCTAACACCTTTGCAGAAGCATACACGAAGCTTGGCGTGTCACTGAACATTGAGAAAACCAAAGTGCTGTTCCAGCAGTCACCAGCCATCCCCTCTCCAATGCCAGAGATACAGCTTAATGGTGTAACATTAGAAAATGTTGACCATTTCCGCTACCTTGGCAGCCACCTCTCCACCAAAGTCAACATCGACACCGAAATACAACACCGCCTGAGCTCTGCAAGTGCAGCATTTTCCCGAATGAAGCAGAGAGAGTTTGAGGACCGGGACATCCGTAGGGATACCAAGGTGCTTGTCTATAAAGCTATTGTCCTCCCAACCCTGCTATATGCCTGTGAAACGTGGACTGTCTACAGACGTCACATGCAACTCCTGGAATGATTCCATCAGCGCTGCCTCCGGAAAATCCTGCAAATCTCTTGGGAAGACAAGCGGACAAACGTCAGCGTGCTGGAAGAAGCAAAGACCACCAGCATTGAAGCGATGGTCCTCTGCCATCAACTCTGCTGGGCCAGCCATGTTGTCCGGATGCCTGACCACCATCTCCCAAAGCAGTTGCTCTACTCTGAACTTAAGAACGGAAAACGGAACGTTGGTGATTTAAAGATAGCCTCAAAGCCAACCTTAAAATCTCTGGCATAGACACTGAGAACTGGGAAGACCTGGCCCTTGAGCGCTCCAGCTGGAGGTCAGCTGTGACCAGCAGTGCTGCAGAATTTGAGGAGGCACGAGTGGAGGGTGAAAGAGAGCCATACGAATGAAACAAACTGAAATGGATAGCGGTTCTATACAAATGCACAAGACTAGTAACGAGTAGGATTAGTTGCCCCTCAGGTTTTATTTCTGTCCATACTTTTTAATAATTCCAAAACTTTAATCTGGAAATTAGCCCCATACAGGTGAGTTGTAACATTTTTTTAAAAAATTCTGTGTTCTCTCTTGGGCTTCACAAGGTAAGAACTAAAAACAAAACATTTCTACTGTTTCTAACATTGGTATGGTTTCTCTCCTGTGTGGATTTTTTTGAGGTACACAAGAGATAGTCTGAGCAAAACACGTTTCCCACTCCTGGCATTTATAGGGTTTCTGTCTTGTGTGAAGTCTCTGAAAACAATGTTTCTATCCCCAGCAACATTTCCCAAACTCCTACCATTTGTATGGTTCCCCTTTTTCACATCTTAAGTTTCTTGTCTCACAAAGTCTGAAGTTTTACAACAATCCCCACACTCCTGTCATTGGTATGGTTTCTCTCCTGTGCTCAGTCTTAAGGTTTTGTTCAAATGCACAAGCGATGGCACTAAGCCAAACCTTCCCCATACTACTGGCATTTGTAGGGTTTCTTGGATGGCGACAATATCTGGATGGTGAGCAAAGCATTTACCTCACTCCCGGTATTTCATAGGTTCTTCTCCTATATGAATTATCCAGTGACCTAGAAAGTGCCTATTCTGAGTAAAACACTTCTCGTGCTCCTGGCATTTTAATGGTTTCTCTTTGGTGTGATTACTGCAAGATGCAAAGATTACTGCAGACACAGACTGCAACCAGGAAATCAGAAGACGTTTACTTCTTGGGAGGAGAGCAATGTCCAATCTCAGTAAAATAGTGAAGAGTAGAGACATCACACTGGCAACAAAGATCCACATAGTTAAAGCAATGGTACTCCCTGTAGTAACATATGGATGTGAGAGCTGGACCATAAGGAAGGAAGACAGACGCTTTTGAACTGTGATGCTGGAGCAAATTTCTGCAAGTGCCTTGGACCGCAAGAAGATCCAACCACTCCATACTCCAGGAAATAAAGCCCGACTGCTCACTGGAGGGAAGGATATTAGAGGCAAAGATGAAGTACTTTGGCCACATCATGAGAAGACAGGAAAGCTTAGAGAAGACAATGATGCTGGGGAAAATTGAAGGAAAAAGGAAGAGGGGCCGACCAAGGGCAAGGTGGATGGATGGTATCCTTGAAGTGACTGGCTTGACTCTGAAGGAACTGTGGGTGGCCACGGCTGACAGGGAAACTCTGGTGTGAACTGGTCCATGAGGTCACAAAGAGTCGTAAGTGACTGAATGAATAAACAACAACTTTGGTGTGAAGTCTTTTGTATCTCAGAAAGAGTAAATTGTAAGCAAAATAATTTCTACACTCCTGGTCTTTCTAGGGTTTCTCTCTGGTGTGGATTCTCTGGTGGCTTACTAGGTGTTGTCTCTGAACAAAACATTTCCCACACTCTTCACACTTGTATGGTTTTTCTCCTGTGTGGAGTTTCTTGTGATTCCAAAGGTATGATCTCCGAGCAAAACTTTTCCCACATTCTGGGCATCTGTAGGGTTTCTCTCCTGTGTGAAGTCTCTGGTGGGTCACAAGATATGAACTGCAAGCAAAACATTTCCCACACTCCTCGCATTTGTATGGTTTCTCTCCGGTATGGATTCTCTGGTGGCCTAGAAGGTGTGCATTCTGAGCAAAAGATTTCCCACAGTCCTCACATTTGTACGGTTTCTCTCCTGTGTGAAGCCTCTTGTGCCTTAAAAAGTGTGAGCTGTGAGCAAAACATTTCCCACACTCCTGGCATTGGTATGGTTTCTCTCCTGTGTGGAGTCTCTTGTGGTGTGCAAGAGATGAAATCTGAGCAAAACCTTCTCCACACTCCAGGCATTTAAATGGCCTTTCCCCTGTGTGGATTCGCCAGTGGCCAAGGAGGTGTGCATTCTGAGAAAAACATTTCCCACATTCCTGGCATTTGTATGGTTTTTCTCCTGTATGAAGTTTCTTGTGATTCCAAAGATACGATCTCCGAGCAAAACATTTCCCACATTCTGGGCATCTGTATGGTTTCTCTCCCGTGTGGACTCTCTGGTGACTCATGAGGCCAGAGTGTCTAGAAAAACATTTCCTACACTCTGTACATTTGTATGGCTTCTCTCCTGTGTGGATTATCCGGTGGCCTAGAAGATGTGCCTTTTGAGCAAAACATTTCCCACAGTCCTGACATTCGTATGGTTTCTCTCCCGTGTGAAGCCGTGCGTGCCTCAAATAGTGTGAAGTGCAGGGAAAACATTTCCCACATTCCTGGCATTTATATTGTGTCTCCCCTGTGTGTAGTCTCATGTGGTGCCCGAGAGAGGAAAGCTGAGCAAAACATTTCCCACACTCCTGGCATTTGTATGGTTTCTCCCCAGTATGGATATTTCTGTGATCGAGAAAGTGTTCTTCCTGATCAAAACACTTCCCACATTCCTGGCATATGTATGGTTTCTCTTCTGTGTTGATTCTCCAGTTATGTAGAAAATGTGCTTTCTGAGCAAAACTTTCCCCACCTTTCTGATACTGATGTGGTTTCTCTGCTTTGTGGGTTCTCCAGTGGCTTTCAAGTGTTGCATCTTTTAAAAAACATTTTTCACACCCCTGGCAGTTACATGGTTTACCCTCTGTGTGGAACTTCTTATGATTCCAAAGATATGATCTCCGAGCAAAACATTTCCCACATTCTGGGCATTTGTATGGTTTCTCTCCTGTGTGGAGACGTTGGTGAATCACAAGATATGCATTGCAAGCAAAACATTTCCCACACTCCTGGCATTTGTATGCTTTTTCTCCTGTGTGGATTTTCTGATGGCCTTGAAGGTGTGATTTCTGAGAAAAACCTTTGCCACAGTCTTGGCATTTGTATGGTTTCTCTCCTGTGTGAAGTCTCCTGTGCCGCAGAAAGTGCGAACTGTGAGAAAAACACTTCCCACACTCCTGGCATTGGTATGGTTTCTCTCCTGTGGGAACTCTCTTGTGGCACTCCAGGGAAGAACTGTGAGCAAAGCAGATACCACATTTCTCACATCTGTATTGTTTTCCTCCTCCGTGGACTCTCTCATGGATCATTAATATTGAAGGGTAAGCAAAGTTCTTTCCACACTCTTGGCAATTGTGTGTTTTCTTTCCATTGGAGATTTCTTGATGACTTAGATGATGTAATTTGTAATCAAACCCTTTCCATGGGATTTTGCATCTAAAGTGTTTTTTCGCAGCATGGAGCCTCTTGTGAAGCACAAAGGCCATATTTCGGGCAAAACATTTTCCACATGTGTTGCACTCGAAGGGTTTTTCTCTGCTATAATTTTCCTTTTCTGTCTGGGCTTTCTGGTGCCTGATAAGATCTTGTTTGTGTCCAATATGCTTCCCGCATTTGATGCTGACAATTTTCTTCCTCTTGTTATCTGCTGAGAAGAACAGAAAACAATTATTTGTTATCACTCAAGTTTTAAAAAAGCACAATTAAAGTTCTGGGAGACTGTGCAAAAAGGATCTGCAAAGCCCACCTCCTCCAAGGTGAACTCAACCACATAAACTGGGCTCTACAAGCCAATGGAGAATCCCTGCAAGACCGAGAAAAAGCCACTAAAGACCAAGGATCCCCCATCAGTGAGGGAGCCTTACCAAGAGATGCCACGATCCCACGCGTCTCCTCCATGACCTGTACATGCAGGGCCCTCTGATCAGGATCCAGAACAGCCCATTCCTCTGGGGAGAATTTGACCACCACGTCCTCAAAGTCAATGGGATCCTGGAGAAAAAAGAAAACATTTCTTACTCACATATTTGTGTATTTGTTTACTTCATTTCTACCCTACCCTTCTCACCCCAAGGGGAACTCAGAGCAACTTACTACATGGCACAATTCAATGGCACATCAACATAACTTAACATATTATAAATACACTAGCCATTCCCTGCCATGCGTTGCTGTGATCTACAGAGATAATCGCAGGAACACCTCAGCAAGCGAGAGTCCAAAAGTGGCAGGCTAAAGCCCAGAACCTCAAGCTATGGCTGATACCAAATGAGAGTCTCCCCCTTCCTTATGACATCCTTCCACATATTCATAGATGGCCCTCATGTCTCCTCTCAACCTTCTCTTCTGCAGGCAAAACATACCCAGCTCTTTAAGATGCTCCACATAAGAGATTAATGGTCTCCAGACCTTTGATCATTTTAGTTGAGAAGGGCTGGGAATAAATACAGTAAATAATAATAATAAAATAATAATATTTATTTAATTAATTAATTATTCATTTACAGTATTTATATTCCGCCCTTCTCACCCCACAGGGGACTCAGGGCAGATTACAATGTACAAATATATGGCAAACATTCAATGCCATAGACACACAACATATATAGACAGACACACAGAGGCTATTTAACATTCCAGCTTTTTCATGATGGTACTCTGGCCACCAGGGGAGCTGTCGCTTCACTGTCCATTTATGACACTGATGAAATACTTCCTCATTGTTTGCATGCTTGTGGAGATTTTTGTGGTGTCGTAAATTAGCCTCCCCGCGTAAGCAGTACCTAAATTTCCTACTTGACAGATGCAACTGTCTTTCGGGCTACAAAAGTCAATAGCAACCTACACAAATTGGTCAGAAGCTCACTCCAACCCGGGCTAGCTTCAAACTCATGACCTTTTGGTCAGCTGTGATCAGTAATATATTGATTTGGTCAGTAATATATCAATTTGCCTCTTTTATATAGTCAATTTCTTTCCATTCGCAATATAAAGAAATATATAGGCTTTGATCACTTCTTAAAATTCAAAGGCAAACTAAGGCAAAATCCTTAGCTAGAGTTGCCCAGGATGTGAGCCCAGGAGGAAGGACACCCGGACAGCTCCCTCCCGTCCCCTTCTCCCAGGAATCCTCCTCCTCACCTCCGTTGTTTCTCCTCTGTTGCAAAGAAAGAGAGGTGGATGCAGACTTGGTGATGGCATCGTTTCAGTTCCTGTGAGAGAGACCAAGGTGGGGAAGATGACCACAGAGGACTATCTGCAAGCCTACAATCGCAATCCTAAAAATAAACTCACAAGGAAGTCGCTCCTGTCAACACAGAAGCATTTTGAAGCCCAATTCAATGTAACATTATAGGGATTAAAGCGGACTTCAATTCCCACAGGAATTGTTGGAGTCGAAGTCTAAAACACCTGGAGGGCCAAAGTTTGCCCATGCCTGTGGTCATAACTTGCCATCATGCAATATACTGCTTTGAAATCACTTATTGCAGGGTTTCCATTCCAGGAGCCCCCACGATAAGTGAAAATCCGCGAAATAGGGACGCTCTGCCCACTCAGCGGCGGCCTCCTCCTCCGCGCTGCCTCTGCTCTTCCCAGCCTCGTGTCATGTATCATGTTCTGCAGTTGATGGTGGTTGGTGGTGGAAGGGTTAATGTAAGTATTAGTTCTAATGGTTTGAGTAATCTGTAAGTAAGAGTTCATGAGTGAAAGCAATTAAAGGTGGAGGCATGCAAGAGATAGGTTGCAGATGGGGGGTTTTGGATATAAGGAGCAAGCCTTGGAATTGATCTTCGGGAGAAAAGTATGTCATATTTTGGTGGTGGATGCTGCTGGTTTTCCCCCAGGTCTCTGGATTTTCTGTATTCTGTTCTGTCCCCTGAACTCTTAGAATCCTGGAACCTTGAATCTTTGGACTGGCTTTTGACTACGGTATAGAATCCCTGGACTTTGTTTATTGAATTCTTGGCGTTTGACCACTGGACTGGACCCCTTGACTACGGTGTAGCATTTGCTATCAGTTTTTGTTTATTCTGTTGCTGTGTGCTATCTTTATGTTTTATGTTTTGGACTATTGAAACAGCTGGACAGTAAGTGTTGTTTTAATTAAATTGTTTCAACACAAACAGGGTGTTTGTTTGATTCACCTCTGCCAGAAATAACGGCAGAGCCCTGGCATCGTGACAGTCCCTGGTAGCCTTGCCTTGGATAGATTCATGTGCTATAAGTGCCTTTTGATTCATGATTCAAGCTTTGGAATTTTACTTTAGAAGATTCTGCCTTTTTTTCCCATGAACTTTGATGGATTAATTTCCTGGACTAGTTGTTCCTGCTTATCTTTCTACTTAATTGGAATTACCTAATTTTTATGGAGTGCATAGCATGCCCATTCAGCTAAGGAAGTTAGAGTCCATAATCAATATTCGAAGGACTTGGATAAAATTCTGCCCTTGTCTAAAATAGAAACAAATTCATTCTCGTTGATTAAAGCATGCATATCCTGTACTGAATGGTAACATTTTGGTACAAATACACATTTATATTGCATCTTCTGTGAGAGCTTCTGTGAGAGTTGTTCAGCAGTGGAACTCTCTGCCCTGGAGTGTGGTGGAGGCTCCTCCTTTGGAGGCTTTTAAACAGAGGCTGGATGGCTATCTGTAGGGGGTGCTTTGAATACGATTTTCCTACTTCTTGGCAGGGGGTTGACTGGATGTCCCACGAGGTCTCTTCCAACTCTTAAGATTCTATGATTTTTCTGGCCCCTAAACACTCTCATGCATAGCTGCACTTTCATAATTTCAAGCAGAATATGGATGTCCCAGGCCGGATGAAATAATAATAATAAGACTTTATTTATATTCCGCCCTATCTTCCTAAAAGGACTCAGGGCGGATATGCTCAACCACTCCCAGAAGGAGCTCCCAGAGGCATGAACACCAAAGGTGATGCTTACCCTGCCAGGCTGCAGCCCTGTCTCCCTCCTGCTTGACTGCCTTCTGTTGGGGATTCTGGGTTGCATCTGATGGAGACACTGCGGATGCAGGGAGATCAGACTGGATTTCAATACAGAGATCTTCAGCCTAAAAAAGCAGGGAAGGTTCCACATTCAATGCAGAAAAGTAGCTGAAAATGGTTTCGTAAATTAGATTTGTGAGGTCTGAGACGTCTATTTACAAATATCTAAAGGACAAGCAATTTAGCATGTATTGTCGAAAGCTTTCATGGCATTTTCTCCTGACCTTTCACCTGCATCTGTGGCCGGCATCTTCAAAGGATCCTCTGAAGATGCCAGCCACAGATTCAGGTGAAAGGTCAGGAGAAAATGCTGCTAGAACACAGCCATACAATCCAGAAACCACACAACACCCCAACTATTGTATGCTTTACTTTTCATAGGAGCCCCCGTGGCGCAGTGGGTTAAACTGCTGAGCTGCTGAACGAAAGGTCGCCGGTTCGAATCCAGAGAGCGGCGTGAGCTCTCGCTGTTAGCTCCAGCTTCTGCTGACCTAGTAGTTTGAAAATATGCAAATGTGAGTAAATCAATAGGTACCGCTCTGGCGGGAAGGTAACGGTGCTCCATGCAGTCATGCTGGCCACATGACCTTGGAGGTGTCTACAGACAATGCCGGCTCTTCAGCTTAGAAATAATAATAATAATAATAATAATAATAATAATAATAATAATAATAATAATAAACAACTTTATTTATACCCCACCACCATCTCCCCGAGGGGACTCGAGGTGGCTTACATGAGGACAAGCCCATCAATACAATATACACAATATAACATAAATACACAACAAAAAATAAAAAAATTAAATAACCTAAAATACAAAACCAATGTATATAAGCGACACAACAATATAAAATCAAAACATTACAACATGAAAATGATCACCATGGGCAGGGCCAGATTCAAGGATTAAAATTTTAAAACACTGGGAGATAGAGCAATGTAAAATATCAAGGAGGGGCTCCGGGGGAGGAGGTAGGATTTAATTGCACAACAAGAAAATAAAAGTGTTTCTGAGGACATTTTATGCAGAGTTTGGTCAGAGATTATCATTGAAGGCAGATTGGAACAGCCAAGTTTTCAGGCTCCTTCTAAAGATTGCCAGAGTGGGGGCTTGCCTAATATCTCTGGGGAGCGAATTCCAGAGCCGAGGGGCCACCACAGAGAAGGCCCTCTTCCTCGTTTGTACCAGTGGCGTTTGTGATGGAGGTGGGAGTGAGAGGAGGGCCTCTCCGGAAAATAGAAGAGATCGTGTGGGTTCGTAGAGGGAAATGCAGTTGCACAGGTAATGGAGATGAGCACCAACCCCAGAGTCGGACACGACCGGGTCATGTGGCTGGCATGACTTCAGGGAGCGCCATTATCTCCCCGCCAGAGTAGTACCTATTGATCTACTCACATTTGCATGTTTTTGAACTACTAGGTTGGCAGAAGCTGGGGCTAACAGCTAGAGCTCACCCCATTCCCAGGATTCAAACTGTGATCTTTCGATCAGCAAGTTCAGCAGCTCAGCGGTTTAACAAACTGCACCACTGGCCTTCCTCAGCCAGAGACAACTCATTTAATCTATCCATTACAGCTTTAGAGATGCCAAGAGGTGATGCTCTCACCTGTTCTTCCTGCTTCTCGTCCTCTGCCTGACTCAAGAGGAATCCTTCTGCCAGGGCCACCGCCTGGGAAGAGGTCTCTGCCCCACACTCTCGGACCCAGCTCTCCATCTCTGGGGGAAGGATACTGAAGAACTGCTCCAGGACCACCAGGTCCAGCATCTCCGCCTTGGTGTGTTGCTCTGGCTTCAGCCACAGGCAGCAGAGAGAGTGGAGCCGACCGCAAACCTCTCGTGGACCTTCGCCTTCTTTGCAGGAGAAGTGCCTGAAGGGCTGAGGCTGGATGTTTGAGCTGGACATGTTTTCATTCAGGAACGTCGTCATACTGAATTCCACAAAGCTCTCACTACCAATAACATCTGAGTCTCTTCTGGCTACAGGTCCAGTTGAGTTGGGTCTTTGGACATCTTTGTACTGGTATCCAAGGAAGCAGCAAATGCGATGCAAGTTACTTTTCCTTCCTCTCTTCTGGGGCAACAGCTTCTCCTCCAAAACTCTGAAAAACCAAGATATTGCTCTGTTGGGAATTTCTGTGATCTATATATATATATATATATATATAAATGCTCTGTTCATTTTGAGTGACATCATAACTCAAAATCTGCTGGATGAATTGCCCCCAAATTTGGCCACAAGACACCTAGTAACCCAAGGAGAGCCCATTAATCAAAAAATTGATTTTGATATTTGGGAGTTGTAGTTGCTGGGATTTATAGTTCACCAACAATCAAAGAGCATTCTGAACTCCACCAATGATGGAACTGAACCAGATTTGGCACAAAGGACTCATGTCCAAAACTGTTGCCATCATGTCATCATGGAGGAGCCGCAGGATGTTCACAAATTTGTCAGGACACCCGATTTTTTGGAGGATGGTCCAGAGAGCGCTGCAATTCACTGTGTTGAATGCCTTTGCAAGGTTAATGAATGCCATGTACAGAGTTTGGTTTTGTTCCCTGCATTTTTTTGGAACTGTCGTGCAGTGAAGATAATGCCCACTATTCCTCTGGAGGGGCAGAAGCCATTCTGGGATTCAAAAGCCTAAATTGACACTGAAATACAACATCGCCTGAGCTCTGCGAGTGCAGCATTTTTCCGAATGAAGCAGAGAATGTTTGAGGACCGGGACATCCGTAGGGATACCAAGGTGCTTGTCTACAAAGCTATTGTCCTCCCAACAATGCTATATGCCTGTGAGACATGGACTGTCTACAGACATCACATGCAACTCATGGAACGATTCCACCAGTGTTGCCTCCAAAAAATCCTGCAAATTTCTTGGGAAGACAAGCAGACAAATGTCAGTGTGTTGGAAGAAGCATAGACCCCCAGCATTGAAGTGATTGTCCTCCACTATCAACTCCACTAGACTGGCCACGTTGTCTGAATGCCCGACCACTGTCTCCCAAAGTAGTTGCTCTACTCTGAACTCAAGAACACAAAACGGAATGTTGGTGGGCAGGAAAGAGATTTAAAGACGGGCTCAAAGCCAACCTTATAAACTCTGGCATAGACATGGAGAATTGGGAAGCCCTGGCCCTTGAGTGCTCCAGCTGGAGGTTAGCTGTGACCAGCAGTGCTGTAGAATTTGAAGAGGCATGAATGGAGGGCGAAAGAGAGAAACGTACCAAGAGGAAAGCACATCAAGCCAACCCTGACCGGGACCGCCTTCCGTCTGGAAACCGATGCCCTCACTGCGGGAGAAGATGCAGGTCAAGAATAGGGCTCCACAGTCACCTACRGACCCAGGACAATCCTACTTGGACAACGAGGGATCGCATAAGTAATGAAGATGTGGAACAGTACTGGGCCCAGGAATGAACCTTCTTCGTGACTCTCCACTAGTCTCTTCTTTCCAGGTTGAAGAGGAACCATTGGTGAGAATCACCCTTTGCTTTTGGTTGCTTAACCAATGACAGCTCCACCTAAGAGGAGCATTGCCTAGGCCACCTTTCTCCACCCCCCTTGCACTGCCCCTTGGGAAGCACCCCCTTCCACATCCCCCACATCCCAAAGGATGCCCCCTCCCCAGCTTCCAAAGCCAGACAGCCCCCTTCACTCCTATGGAGAAGGCCTGGGAATGAAGACTCACCAGAAGGAGAAGACACTAAAGCATCCCAAGGAGAGGAGGGAGGAGGAGGGCAAGGAAGGCTGGCCTGCTCTGGAGGACTGGGTGCCTCCCTCCTCTCCAACTTCCTTCCTTTCTAGGAATCCAAACTCCCTCCCCTTAACCCTTCCTTTGCTTCATCCAGCTGCAAGAGTCAAAGCCGCTCTTGCATCCTTCTGGGCTCCAGAGACCCATGGAATCAGCCTGCCCAGCGCAGGCATGCACCGTCCAGTTTCCTTGGCTGCATTGTAAACACACTGTGTAGAATGAATGCACTTGAACTGCATTGGCTCAACTTCCTGACTGTAAGAAGAGCTATTCAGCAGTGGAACTCTCTGCCTCGGAGTGTGGAGGAAGCTCCTTCCTTGGAGGCTTTTCAACAGAGGCTGGACCGGGCAGCTAGTTAGTAGTCAGCTGCATTAAATCACTACTGACCAAGAGGTCATGAGTTCATTGCCCAGGGGACACCCGGATGTTTTGATGTTTTATCATCCTGTGAGAGACTCCTCTCGTTTCCCAGCATAGATAGCTGGAGCTGACAGAGGGAGCTCATCTGTGCACTCCCCAGATTCACACCTGCGATCTGGTGATCTTCAGTCCTGCCAGCACAAGGGTTTAACCCATTGCCTCCTATACAATTTATCAAAACGTATAAAAGTGGTTTTCTATCCCTTAGCTCAACCATCCATCAAACTGGGAACTGTATTACAGGAATCAGAAAATTGAGATAAGGAAGAGCAGCTACAAAGGAACAGGGCAAGAGGAAAACCCGATCAGAGAAGGACGAGGTTAGGACCATCTATATCACAGCATTTCAGATTTCTACGTAAAGGGTGAAAGCTGGAGATTAAAGAAAACAGACAGCAAGAGAATAATGCAGCTGGCTAATAACTAGCTGCTACCTCCGAAAAATCCTGCAAATCTCTTGGGAAGACAGTCAGTGTGCTTGAAGTGTGGATAAATGTCAGTGTGCTTGAAGAAGCAAAGATCACCAGCACTGAAGCAATGGTCCTCCACCATCAACTCAGCTGGACTGAATGTCACATTGTTCAAATGCCCAATCACCATCTCCCAAAGCTGTTACTCTACTCCCAACTCAAGAACAGGAAACGTAATGTTGGTGGACAGGAAAAGAGTTTGAAAGATGGGCTTAAAGCCAACCTTAAAAATTGTTGCATAGACACCAAGAACTGGGATGCCCTGGCCCTTGAGCACTCTAACAGGAAGTCAGCTGTGACCAGCAGTGCTACGGAATTCGAAGAGGCATGAATGGAGGGAGGAAGGGAGAAACGAGCCAAGAGAAAGATGCATCGAGCCAACCCTGACGGAGACTGCCTTCTGTCTGGAAACCGATGTCCTCACTGTGGGAGAACATGTGGATCAAGAATAGGGCTCCACAGCCACCTACGGACCCACTGCCAAGACATCAGACTTGGAGGACCATCATCCTTGATAAAACACATATAAAAGGGCCAAAGGCACCTTAAGCATTTAGAATCATAGAGTTGGAAGAGACCTCATGGGCCTCCAGTCCAACTCCCTGGCAAGAAGCTGGAAAATTGCATGCAAAGTACCTCTGACAGATGGCCATCCAGCCTCTGTTTAAAAGCTTCCAAAGAAGGCACCTCTACCACAGTCCAGGGCAGAGAGTTCCACTGCTGAATAGCTCTCACAGTCAGGAAGTTATCTTTGTGTTGTTGAAGGCTTTCATGGCCGGAATCACTGGGTTGTTGTAGGTTTTTCCGGGCTATATGGCCATGTTCTGGAGGCAATTTTTCTCATGACGTTTCGCCTGCCCACTGCTGAACAGCTCTCACAAGTCAGGAAGTTCTTCCTCATGTTCAGATGGAATCTCCTTTCTTGTAGTTTGAAGCCATTGTTCCATTTCGTCCTAGTCTCCAGGGAAGCAGAAAACAAGCTTGCTCCCTCCTCCCTGTGACTTCCTCTCACATATTTATACATGGCTATCATATCTCCTCTCAGCCTTCTCTTCTTCAGGCTAAACATGCCCAGCTCCTTAAGCCGCTCCTCATAGGGCTTGTTCTCCAGACCCGTGATCATTTTAGTCGCCCTCCTCTGGACACATTCCAGCTTGTCAATATCTCTCTTGAATTGTGGTGCCCAGAATTGGAAACAATATTCCAGGTGTGGTCTAACCAAAGCAGAATAGAGGGGTAGCATTACTTCCCTAGATCTAGACACTATGCTCCTATGCTATATCCATGCATTCCCTACATCTACCCAGCTTGTAACTCAGAGATCAGATTAGTCTGGCATGACTTTTTTTAATGAATCCATGCTGACTATTAGTGATGGGTGCATTCATTTCTAAGTGTTTTCAGGCGAAGCAAAATTACGGGTTGGATTTTAACAGACACAAAGCAAAATTAGGGGTTTGATGTGATTAATGAATTAATGAGACCTGGTGGGCCATCTCGTCCAACCCCCTGCAAAGAAGGAGGAAAATTGCATCCAGCGATGATCATCCAGCTTGTTTAAAAGCCTCCAAAGAAGGAGCCTCTACCACACTCAAGGGCAGAGAGTTCCACTGCTGAACGGCTCTCACAGTCAGGAAGTTCTTCCTCATGTTCAGGTGGAAATCTTTCTTGTAGTTTGAAGCCATTGTTCCGCGTCCTAGTCTCCAGGGAAGCTCCCTCCTCCCTGTGACTTCCTCTCACATATGTATACATGGCTATCATATCTCCTCTCAGCCTTCTCTTCTTCAGGCTAAACATGCCCAGCTCTTTAAGCCGCTCCTCATAGGGCTTGTTCTCCAGACCCTTGATCATTTTAGTCACCCTCCTCTGGACACATTCCAGCTTAAATAAAATAGTCTTAAAGATTACTAAGATGAATTATCTTTCTCCCTTGTAGAAATATTCTCATATTCTAATACAATTAAAAAAAAAACTCCCTGGATTTCAGAGCATTGAGCCATGGCTAAAAAAAGAAAACAACACTGCACCTTTAAGAGAACGCTGTGCTATGCACCTACGTCATTCAGAGGCAGAACCTGTTAGTCTCCTTTGTTTCCGCCAAGAGCCTGGTTTGGCTTCAGTCACATGACCGGCAGCGGAAGCCGGTCAAAGAAGGGGCTCGGGTAGATACCAGAGGGTAAAAAGTGGTGCCTCATTAAAAAGGAGCCCATTGGAAACACCAACCCCTAAAAAAACCCCCAAACAATTAGAAATAACAACTCAAAGGAAGGACCTTGAAGCAAAGAAGGCCCAACAGGCCTAAGAAGCCCAGCTTTCTCATCCTTCTCGGCTTTCCTCTCCTCCTGGTGAGTCCGGCCTTATTCCCAGGGCTTCTCCATCTAGGACTGAAAGGCAAATGGGAGGGAGGTTTTTGTATACACACATGGATCCCCAAATCAATGGACAGTCCAGTTCAATTTATATGCAATGGCATAGTGAAGTAGAACTCTTTGTACAAAAGGTCTAAATTAAGGCTTGCTTTTGGGGCGTGGAATTGGGGAAATATTTTCGTGCTGTGGGTAGTTGAATCTGTGAATACCATGTGCGAGGAGGTGATCAGAGTGGAGAGAAAGCACACGTGCTGTCATGTGACAGGAGAGTAGAGGGAGATTTATTGTTTATTTCTCTGAATTCTGCCACCAACTGGTATAGTGGAGGCCAATTGTTATATGTAATCTATGGTAACTGCCACCAACGTGAGATATGTGGTACTACTGTGCTCTTACCTACAAGAAGCACTGCCTGAACATCAAGCAAAAAGTGGGTGCTAGAAACAATATCATACGAAAGCTGACTGGCACAACCTGGGGATCACAACCAAATACAGTGAAGACATCTGCCCTTGCGCTGTGCTACTCTGCTGCTGAGTATGCATGCCCAGTGTGGAACACATCTCACCACACTAAAACAGTGGATGTGGCTCTTAATGAGACATGCCGCATTATCACGGGGTGTCTGCGCCCTACACCACTGGAGAAATTACACTGCTTAGCTGGTATTGCACCACCTGACATCCGCCAGGAAGTAGCAGCCAATAGTGAAAGGACCAAGGCAGAAACATCTCCAGCTCATCCCCTGTTTGGGTATCAGCCAGCACGCCAACGACTTAAATCTACACATAGTTTTCTAAGATCTACAGAGACACTCGCTGGAACACCTCAGCAAGCGAGAGTCCAAAAGTGGCAGGCTCAAACCCAAAACCTCAATCCAGATACCAAATGAGAGACTCCCCGCTGGGCACACAGAAGACTGGGCGACTTGGAAGGCGCTGAACAGACTGTGCTCTGGCACCACGAGATGCAGAGCCAACCTTCAGAAATGGGGCCACAAAGTGGAATCCTCGACATGCGAGTGCGGAGAAGAGCAAACCACTGACCACCTGCTGCAATGCAACCTGAGCCCTGCCACATGCACAATGGAGGACCTTCTTGCAGCAACACCGGAAGCACTCCAAGTGGCCAGATACTGGTCAAAGGACATTTAACCAGCTACCAAACTCACAAGTTGTGTATTTTTCTGTTTGTTTGCTTTGTTCTGTTAGAAATGTAATATAATGGACTGGTTGCTCTGACACGACAAATAAATAAAATACTGTGAGATGTGGCAATACAGACGCAGAATGGATGGAGATGAGACTGTCTTCAACAAAAGATAACTCGTTTATTGAGTACAAAGCATGTGGTTGCAAGATTGTAACTTATTTTATAGAACTTTGAATAATACTTGGTTAGTTAAACGTTTCACTCTTCCAGGTTACACAGTAACTTACTGAGGTGAAGCTCTTATTACTAAACAATGTTTCAGTACAGGAATATCTTCCCTATTTGATCTTTCCTTGATCAAATAAATTACCAAGCTTATCCTTTAGCCTTTCCCTTGACTAAAGAAAACTGGCTATGTTTCTCCTTTTAGCCTCCTTAGACTGAGAAACCTCCAGTAGCTGTTCAGGCTTCCCAAAAGCCACAATTCTTTGCTTCACACTTCACTCTCCCACTCTACTCTTCACTTCCACTCTTTTTCTCCTCTCAGATACAAAATCAACTCCTAACTGACTCTCAAACTGTCTGTTTTCAAAACTCTCTCCACTTGGCTCCTCCCACTTCTCCTTCTGCCAGCTTGCCTTGGTCTCCATGGTAACACTGACTGAGGATCTCTGAAATAGGCTGCTCCAGTGTTACTGTAGCTAACCCAAACACATATATACAGTTTAAAACATGCAAAGTATTAATAACTTCTGCACACCATGTCTTTAGATACAGAAACCTGATTGTATGTCCATGTATGTACAGGCAGTGAATGTACTGTGGTTGGAAAAGAATAGATAGTGTGATCTAATAATTGAATAAATCTTGCAATTAATAAAAGCTTTCATGGCCAGAATCACTGAGTTGTTGTGTGTTTTCTGGGCTGTATGGCCATGCTCCAGAAGTATTCTCTCCTGACGTTTCACCCACATCTATGGCAAGCATCCCACCCTGGACATTCCATGGATATATAAACCCCACTTACCTTGTTTCCAACAGACTTCACAATCTCTGAGGATGCCTGCCATAGATGTGGGCAGAACATCAGGAGAGAATGTTTCTGGACTATGGCCATAAAGCCTGGAAAACTCACACCAAACCAATAGAATCATAGAATCAGAAGAGACCTCATGGGCCATCCAGTCCAACCCCATTCTGCCAAGAAGCAGGAGAATTGCATTCAAAGCACCCCTGACAGATGGCCACCCAGCCTCTGTTTAAAAGCTTCCAAAGAAGGAGCCTCTACCACACTCCGAGCCAGACAGTTCCACTGCTGAATGGCTCTCACAGTCAGGAAGTTCTTCCTCATGTTCAGATGGAATCTCCTCTCTTGTAGTTTGAAGCCATTGTTCTGCGTCCTAGTCTCCAGGGAAGCAGAAAACAAGCTTCTTCCTAGGACTTCCTCTCACATATTTATACATGGCTATCATATCCCCACTCAGCCTTCCAAGTCTTCCAAGATCAGTGTACTGGTGGGTCCGTAGGTGACTTTGGAGCCCTATTCTTGATCTGCATCTTCTCCTGCAATGTAGGCATTGGTTTCCAGGTGGAAGGTGGTCGCAGTCGGGGTTGGCTTGACGTGCCTTCCTCTTGGCATATTTCTCTCTTTCGCTGAAAGCCAATCTTTAAAACTCTGGCATAGAAACAGAGAACTGGGAAGCCCTGGCCCTTGAGCACTCCAGCTGTAGGTCAGCTGTGACCAGCAGTGCTGTAGAATTTGAAGAGGCACAAATGGAGGGCGAAATAGAGTAATAGAAGGTATCATGGCCAGAATCAATGGATTGTTGTGTGTTTTCCGGGCTGTATGGCCATGCTCCATAAGAGCTGGGCACGTTTAGCCTGCAGAAGAGAAGGCTGAGAGGAGACATGATAGCCATGTATAAATATGTGAGAGGAAGTCATAGGGAGGAGGGAGCAAGCTTGTTTTCTGTTGCCCTGGAGACTAGGACACAATGGAAGAATGGCTTCAAACTGCAAGACAGGAGATTCCATCTGAACATGAGGAAGAACTTCCTGACTGTGAGAGCTGTTCATCAGTGGAACTCTCTGCCCCAGAGTGTGGTGGAGGCTCCTTCTTTGGAGACTTTTAAACAGAGGCTGGATGGCTATCTGTTGGGAGTGCTTTGAATGCGGTTTTCCTGCTTCTTGGCAGAATGGGGTTGGACTGGATGGCCCATGAGAACTCTTCCAACTCTATGATTCTATGATTCTATTCTCTCCTGCCATTTCACCCATATCTATGGCAGGCATCCCACCCTGGACATTCCACGGATATATAAACATGACCTGTCTTGTTTCCAATAGACCTCACAACCTCTGAGGATGCCTGCCATAGATGTGGGCAAAACATCAGGAGAGAATGCTTCTGGACTATGGCCATAAAGCCTGGAAAACTCACAACAAACCAATAGAACCAATAGATGGGTTGTTGTAGGTTTTTTCGGGCTATATGGCCATGTTCTAGAGGCATGGCCATATAGCCTGAAAAAACCTACAACAGCCCAGTGATTCCGGCCATGAAATCCTTCGACAATACATAGAACCAATAGAAGCTTTAATTTTCAAAGATTTCTGATGTTTGTAGAAGAAATTGTGTAGAACTAGTCTGGATTAGGACTGTGAGTGAGGATTGAAGGCCAAGTGAGAGAAGGTGGGTCTGGAGGCTGCATAAGCAGAAACCAAGATGAGGGGAGGATCCAGCAGTACTTCGTGCTGAAATAAATGAAGGCCTTGTTTCGTGACCCTCTGGCCCCCCAAAGCCTTATGTTTAATTCTGCTCATTCACTTGCTTTTCCTTCATAGAGATTTGCTTGTTTGCCGATAATCCTTAACTCAGCAGTGACTTGTCTTTGGATAATGTTTCAGGGAATGTTCCCAAGAGAAGGTGGGAAAGCATCTTGGATTGAATTTACATCTTTGTTAAGCAGTCATTGAAACATGGAGAAACACAGCTCACCTGGACCTGAAGCAGGTGGGGTCCATGAGAGCACTGGAGCATCCTGGAGAAAAAGTACACATAAGTTCCTGAGTGTGGACCTTTATAGCTCACACACACAGAGCCAGCAGTTCAGGCATTCCTCCTTCCAAGAGGTCGAGGGACCCAGAGAGGTTTGCAGCCGCCTCCACTCTCTCTGCCGCCAGTGGCTGAAGCCAGAGCAACACACCAAGGCGGAGATGCTGGACCTGGTGATCCTGGAGCAGTTCCTGAGCATCCTGCCCCCAGAGATGGGGAGCTGGGTCCGAGAGTGTGGGGCAGAGACCTCTTCCCAGGCGGTGGCCCTGGCGGAAGGCTTCCTCCTGAGTCGGGCGGAGGACAAGAAGCAGGAAGGACAGGTGAGAGCATTCCCTCTTGGTTTCTGTAAAACTGAGACTTGGCTAAATGTGTATCATCCCTCTCTTCCAAGATGGGACCCAATGTGGGGGATAAGCAAGGCCCTGTCCCCTCTTGTTTCTTTTCCTAACCACTCCACCCTAATGCTGCCACCCCTATATTTCATTCAAGCTCTGTCATTCTTTTGAAATTGGATGCCCCGAGGTGAGAGTTTGGCTTAATGTTTTGCAGTAAATTTGCCATCTCAATAATTACAAGCTTGCACAGGGAGGAGGGTGCAAGCTTGTTTTCTTCTGCCCTGGAGACTAGGCCACAGAGCAATGGCTTCAAGCTACAGGAAAAGAGATTCCACCTGAACATTAGGAAGAACTTTCCTGACCTTGAAAGCTGTTGAGCAGTGGAACTCTCTGCCCCAAGTGTGGTGGAAGCTCCTTCTTTGGAAGCTTTTAAGCAGAGGCTGGATTGCCATCTGTCAGGGGTGCTTTAAATGCGATTTTCCTGCTTCTTGGCAGGGGGTTGGACTGGATGGCCCATTAGGTCTCTTCCAACTCTATGATTCTATACTCCTTTAAACAAGGTCCAAGTGCCTTGTGTCATATCTTTTCAAAGGAAGATGTTCTTGCTGCTGCTGCTGCACAAAACATGGCAGTATGGTGACTCTGCAAAGGCAGTGTGTGCTTCAAGGGTGGACCATGCTTGTCTCTCAAAGTTTGCTCGCTCCTGTCCGAGGAATTAAGGGTAGGACCTTGTGCACAACTACAGTGTTTTTCCCCCTGGAATTTTCTCTGCTCTTTCAGGGAGTTCAGATGAGTCTCACTGCATCAGACACCACTCAAAGTCCCCAGAAGAAGAAGCTCAAGCAGGAGAGAGATGAGGCTTTGGCCTTGCAGAGTAAGTATGAACCTTCTTTGGACACAATTCCCATTTGGACATAACTCTGAGAGGACATAATCATCTTGCTGTTTTATGCTGGTGGAGATTTCACTTCAGAAGGGCTTGGGTATATATTTGTTATCTCCACAAAGAACTTGAGATTGGGAAGAAGCACATGCATGGCATTTAGAATTTGACACATTCAGTTGCAAAAAGTGTAATTTTAGGGTGATTCTGCTGGTATTTGCCATTTCCTTTAAAAATACATTTTTAATATGTGTGTGGTATTTTTACAATGTTTTGTGTTTTAATTATTCTGTAACCCAACCCGAGCAAATTTAAACCCCCCAATAAACAAGTGAGCCTGTGAATTAACCACTAAATGAATACTACTATTATAGTATCCAATGGAAGGCTTTCATGGCCAGAATCACTGAGTTATTGTGTGTTTTCCAGGCTGTCTGGCCATTTTCCAGAAGCATTCTCTCTTCATGTTTCACCTGCATCTATGAGGATCAGAGGTTGTGGCTCCTCTGAGGATGCCTGCCGTAGATGCAGGCAAAACGTCAGGAGAGAATGGTTCTGGAACATGGCCATATAGCTCGGAAAACAAACAACAACCTATTGTGATCTGTTTTCCTCCACTTTACTGTCTCTCACAGGGGATGGAAAGACACTGACAGCAAATTCCCAGCTGTCTCTTCCTGTTTCTGCTGGAATTGAGCCAACTGAGGTAAGGAGAGGATTCCTGAGTCTCCTAGCAAGACTGCTGTTTTTATTTACTTTGGATTTTTAAAAAATGGCCCAAGTCTATACATTCATTTCCTGAATGTTAAAAATGGATTTTCAAAAAATATGAATGGGGAGGTAACAAAACAGGTTCATTCACCTTGGCCCAGGAGTTTGAGCTCTTAAAAGGTTTGTTGTGTATTCTGACAGCCCAGTTGTGTGTTGGAACTGCTCTACTTGTTCTGTGATTTTAGTTTTCTTGACTTCTAAAAAAAGTGGAAACCATCTTTCCCCCTCTTTTTCTTCCTTTTCCTTTTCACCCCCTTGAAAAAGGAGGGCACTTTGACCTTCCGGGTGTTTTGGACTTTAACTACCACAATTCCTAACAGCCAGTAGGATGTTAGAAATTGTGGAAGCTGAAGTCCAAAACACCTGGAGGGAGAGCCGAAGTTAAACCAGGCCTGGTTTCAATCCCACTTTGTAGTGCTTCGTGCGCTCTATATATTGATAATGTTTAGCAAATGTTTTCTTTTTTCACAAGGACCTTTTCACCTTTGAGGATGTGGCTGTCCATTTCTCCCCGGCGGAGTGGGCTCTTCTGGATCTTGATCAGAGAATGCTGCACACGCAGATCATGGAGGAGACCCATGGGATTGTGGCCTCCCTTGGTAAGGCTCCCGCACTGATGGGGATTTCCATACCGTAATTGCCATAGCTGCTTCCAGTTGGGAGCAGTACCCTAAATTATCCCAGTCACCGGGGTCCTAAAGGCAGGGTTCAAGTGTCCTTCCTAATAATTGGAAAATTCTATTGAACTGAAGCATAAATAGAAATGCCATATGCCCTTTTCAGAAGCATGGGCTTCCACCTCACTTTCCCTCCCATCCGTGCAAGCTAGCCTCTGCATGACTGAAGCTGAGAGGAGCATAATTTTTGATCACCTGGCAGATTTTTTCCTTATGGTCCAGCTCTCACGTCCATAGGTGACTATGGGGAATACCATTGCTTTAACTATGCAGATCTTTGTTGCCAGTATGATGTCTCTATCGAGATTGGTCATTGCTCTCCTCCAAGAAGGAAATGTCTTCTGATTTCCTGACCGCAGTCTACATCTGCAGTAATCTTCATGCCTAGAAATACAAAGTCTGTCACTGCCTCCACGTTTTCTCCCTCTACTTGCCAGTTATTAATCAGTCTGGTTGTCATAATCTTGGTTTTTTTTATGTAACTGCAACCCAGCATTTGCATTTTCTTCTTTCACCTTGGTTATAAGTCTCCTCAGCTCCTCCCACTTTTGGCCATCAAAGTGGTATCATCTGCATATCTAAGGATGCTAATGTTTCTTCCAGCAATTTTAACTTGGATTCCTCAAGCCCCGCACATTGTATGATGTGTTCTGCATACACATTGAGTAGGTTAGGGGAGAGTGCACAACCCTGCCGTACGTCTTTCCCAATCTTGATCCAGCCTGTTGTTCCATGATCTGTTGTGACTGTTGCTACTTGGTCATTATACAGATTCCTCAGGAGAGAGACAAGGTGGCTTGGTAAGCCCATACCGCCAAGAACTTGCCACAATTTATTATGATCCACACAGTCAAAGGCTTTAGAATAGTCAATAAACAGAAATAGATGTATATGTGAAACTTCCTGCCTTTCTCCATTATCCAGCATCTGGATATTGGCAATTTGGCCTCTCGTTCCTCTGCCTTTTTGAAACCCAGCTTATATGTCTGGCAACTCTCTCCATGTATTGCTGGAGTCTACCTTGCAGGATCTTATTTTCATCTCAATGCTTAATTCTTTGTTGTAAGTTTACTTTTGTTTCTGTGTATTATCTTGTATTATTTTGATGTATTTGTATTCATTTGAGGCATTTAATATTTGCCTTTTGTTTTGTGTCTGTAAACTGCCCTGAGTTCCTTCAGGGAGAGAGGACGATCTATCATCATCATCATTTCATTTCAACCTGTTCCCTCTCTCATAGAGAGCTTTTCTATGCACACTGAGGATTTTTTTCTCTTCTTCTTCCCAGCAGTTAACTGCCAGAGGAGCATTGCCAAGCACAAAGAGGAGCTTACCACACTTGGAGAAGTCCACGCAGAAGAGGAAAGTTCTGCCAGAGAGAGGCCCTTCAAATGCAATGCATGTGGGAAATGTTTTGCTCAAAATATGGACCTTGTGCTCCATGAGACGATCCATGTTGGGGAAAAAGATTTGAAAAGTAAAATATCAGGGAAAGGTGTTGATGACAAACTGTCAAATCTGAGCCAACAAGAAATTTTTGAAGGAATAGAAAGGCCATCTCTTGTGACTTATGAGAGACTCAACGTGGGAAAGAAAGTATACAAATGCCAGGAATGTGGGAAGAGCTTTGGTCAGAGTTCATCCCTTGTGAGCCACCAGAGAGTCCACACAGGGGAGAAACCATACATATGTCTCGATTGTGGGAAATGTTTTGCTAACAGTTCCCATTTGGTGAGGCACAAAAGAGTCCACACAGGAGAGAAGCCATACCAATGCCAGGAGTGTGGGAAATGTTTTCCTTCCAAGTCATCACTTCTGAGACACCAGAGCACCCACACAGGAGAGAAACCGTACAAATGCCAGGAATGTGGGAAATCTTTTGCTCAGAGTTCAACCCTCGCACAGCACAGGAGAGTTCACACAGGAGAGAAGCCATACAAATGCCAGGAGTGCGGGAAATGTTTTGTTCAGAATATACACCTTCTATGCCACCAGAGCAGCCACACAGGAGAGAAGCCATACAAATGCCAGGAGTGTGGGAAATGTTTTGTTCGGGATTCATACCTTGTCAGGCACCAGAGACTACACACAGGAGAGAAACCAAATAAATGCCAGGAGTGTGGGGAATGCTCAGAATGCACAACTCCTAGACCACTGGAGAACCCACACAGGGGAGAGAGTTTAGAAACGCCAGCAGTGTGGAAATGTTTTGATCAGGAATTGTACCTTGTGAGGGAATAGAGAAAATATGCACATGCCAGGACTGAGAAAAATGTTTGTTTGGGGACAACATCTAGTAAAATATCAGACTCCTGAGTCAATTTCAAGGATGTGGAACTTATTTTTCTCAAAAGTCATCCTTGTGAAACAGACTTCACACAAGAAACAAATCATCCAAATGCCAGAAGTGTGGGAAATGTTTTGATCATAGTCCATACTGGTGAGGCACAAGAGACTCCATCCAGGAGAGAATCCATACAAGTACCGGTCATATCATAAATGTTTTCCTCCCCAAAAAATGTAACCCTTGCAATGCACTGTAGAGTCTACATAGGAGAGGAATGGGATTAGTGCCAGGATTGTGCTCAGAGTTTAATTCCTCATCCCTTCATCTTAGCAAAACATTACAATGTGTAGACATGGACATTTTTGGTAGCCTTTAACATGTCTCTTAGAAAAAGCCAGGGAGAGTCACACAGAATCTGTGAAGGTATTTCAGGAGATCTTTGACATGCACCTGCAGAAAAACCATCAAATGCAGTGGAAGCATATCTTGTCTGTGATGGACAGTTTTTTTCCAAATGTAAAGAAATTCCAGTGTCAACAGCTACAAATGAAAGGTTGTTTTCAACTCTGAAACATTTGAAAACATGCATAAGAAGCACAACGGGGCAAGAAAGGTTGACTGGACTTGCACCTTGTCGATGGAGCCTGATTTCTGTCAAAGTGTACCAACACAGTTTTCAAGTGTTTCCAGGAGATGTTTGGACTTCTTTTGTAATTATTAAATTATCAATTAAGAGTCATTTTCAGGGTTTATTGTAGGCTTTAAACTTTGGAACTAAAATGGAAATTTGATTTAATTAAGTCTATATAAAATACAGAATGTCATATTAATTATTTTGTGTTGTGGATGTACTGATTCACTTTGTTTTAAGTGAATCAGTACATGCATAACACAAAATAATTTAAATCATATGTTTTATTCTATATTTTATGTTTCAAACTCCCCCCCCCCCCCATTTTTCTGGTTACGGCCCTGGCCAGAGCTTCCCAGTTTTTGGTGTCTATGCCACAGTTTTTAAGATTAGCTTTAAGCCCATCTTTAAATCTCTTTTGCTGCCCACCCACATTCCGTTTTCTGTTCTGTAGTTGAGAGTAAACTAACTGCCCTGGGTGACCGTGATCGGGCATTCAGGCAACGTGGCCAGTCCAGTGGAGTTGATGGTGGAGGACCATTGCTTCAGTGCTGGTGGTCTTTGCTTCTTTCAGAATGCTGACATTTATCCACTTGCCATCCCAAGAGATTTGCAGGATTGGGTTGTTGTAGGTTTTCCGGACTAAAATGGCCATGTTCTAGAAGCATTCTCTCCTGACGTTTTGCCTACATCTATGGCAGGCATCCTCAGAGGTTGTGAGATCTGTTGGAAACTAGGAAAATTGGATTTATATATCTGTGGAAAGACCAGGGTGGGAGAAAGAACTCTTGTTTGTTGTAGGTGTGAATGTTTCAATTGGACACCTTGATTAGCATTTGATAGCCTGATAGTTTTTAGGTGTGGCTTGTTCTTACCTGGGGGAATCCTGTGTTGAGAGGTGATTAGCTGTTCCTGATTGTTTCTTGTCTGGAGTTCCCCTGTGTTTGAGTTTTGTTCTTTATTTACTGTTATAATTTTAGAGTTTTTTTAATACTGGTAGCCAGATTTTGTTAATTTTCATGGTTTCTTCCTTTCTGTTGAAATTGTCCACATGCTTGTGGATTTCAATGGTAGTCTGACCTGGTGGTTGTGAGAGTAGTCCAGCATTTCTGTGTTCTCAATAATATGCTGTGTCCAGGTTGGTTCATCAGGTGCTCTGCTATGGCTGACTTCTCTGGTTGAAGTAGTCTGCAGTGCCTTTCATGTTCCTTGATTCGTGTCTGGGCAATGCTGCTGCGTTTGGTGGTCCCTCTGTAGACTTGTCCACAGCTGCATGGTACACGGTAGACTCCTGCAGAAGTGAGAGGATCCCTCTTGTCCTTTGCTGAACGTAGCATTTGTTGGATTTTCTTGGTGGGTCTGTAGATGGTTTGTATGTTGTGTTTCCTCATCAGCTTCCCTCAGTCAGTGGTTCCCTTGATGTATGGCAAGAACACTTTTCCTCTGGTGGATTTTTTGTCTTTACTCTTGTGGCTTGTTCTCAGTCTACAGCTCTTCTGATGGCTGAGGTGGAGTATCCATTGGCATGTAGAGCCCAGTTTAGGTGGTTCTGTTCAAACACAGGGGAACTCCAGACAATAAATAATCATGGACAGCCAATCACCTCTCAACAAAGGATTCCCCCAAGCAGTAACAACCGCCCCCCCAAAAAAAAACACCTGTCAGGCCATCAAATGCTAATCAAGGTGGCCAATTGAAACATTCACACCTAGCTGTGAAGCCCAATTCCTTATGGCTGTTAGGAATTCTGGGAGTACAAAACACCCGGAGGGCCCAAGTTGGCCGATGCCTATGCTACATTCTGCTCTGCCCATTTAAATTATATATTATTTATTTATTTGCGACATTTATTTTTTTTATTAATTTTTATTGATTTATCACAATTATTACATCCTATTGCATTTTATACATCAACCTCTTTAACATGTTGTTTTGTTGTTTTGCTTTGACATTCCCCCCCCTTTTCTCATTTTTTTCCTTTTTTTTTCCCACCACAGTGCTCCCCTCCACCCGTCTCAAGCCATATTTCTTACATTTCATCTGTCCAAAATTTCATTTCTTCTTGTGACGGTAATTTTCCTTCCTTATTTTTTAATCCATTTACCGCAAATCTTCCCCATACAGCATCAAAATCGCTTTGTTTCCATATACCTTTTTTAACCTTTAATATACATGTCAATTTATCATTTATTGCTATTTTCCATGCTTCCTTATACCACTCCTCTATTTGTATATTCATTTCTTTTTTCCAATTCCTTGCTATGAGCAGTCTTGCTATAGTTAATAAGTTTGTTATCGCTTCTTTATCCTCCTTTTTCAATTGTTTATTGGTATATAATGCTAGTAAGGCTATACTAGGACTTTTGTCTATTTGCGACATTTATATGCCGCCCTTCTCACCCCGAAGGGGACTCAGAGCGGCTTACAAGATATGTATACATACAATATATTATATTATTAGCATAGCATAATATCAGTATTAAATATTACTATATTATACTATACCATTGTACTGTAATATTATTAGTAATATTACATATAATATAAAATATATAGTTACAATATCATTATTAGTAGTAGTATTGTATTACATTATAATATTATAAATATTATATGTATATACAATATATTATATTATTAACATAACACAGGAGACAAGATGGAACTGTCTTCCTGGGCCCACTCTCTTCAAAATAGTCTCATAGAATCAAAGAGTTGGAAGAGACCTCATGGGCCATCCAGTCCAACCCCATTCTGCCAAGAAGCAGGAATATTGCATTCAAATCACCCCTGGCCATCCAGCCCCTGTTTTAAAGCTTCCAAAGAGGGAGCCTCCACCACACTCCGGGGAAGAGAGTTCCACTGCTGAACGGCTCTCACAGTCAGGAAGTTCTTCCTCATGTTCAGATGGAATCTCCTCTCTTGCAGTTTGAAGCCATTGTTCCTTGTCCTAATCTCCATGGAAGCAGTAAACAAGCTTGCTCCCTCCTCCCTGTGGCTTCCTCTCACATATTTATACATGGCTATCATGTCTCCGACCTTGAAGGAGCTGGGGATGGTGACGGCCGACAGGGAGCTCTGGCGTGGGCTGGTCCATGAGGTCACGAAGAGTCGGAGACGACTGAACGAATGAACAACATCATGTCTCCTGTCATCCTTCTCTTCTTCAGGCTAAACATGCCCAGCTCCTTGAGCCGCTCCTCATAGGGCTTCTTCTCCAGAACCTTGATCATTTTAGTCGCCCTCCTCTGGACACATTCCAGCTTATCAATATCTCTCTTGAATTGTGGTGCCCAGAATTGGACACAATATTCCAAGTCTCCCTTGTAGAAATATCCTCATATTCTAATACTTGTATACAGTTAAAAATAACTATTTGGATTACATACCACTAAGTCTTGTTTAAAAAAGAAAGCACTGCACCTTTAAGAAGAGGTTTTGTTACTCCCCTACGTCATCCACAGCTTGTTTCCGCCAGGAGCTTGGCTCAGGCGTCAATCACGTGATCGAAAGCAGAAGCCGCTCAAAGAAAGGGTCCGGGTGGAAGGGGGGGGAAAGGGTCCTACATTAAAAAGGGGCCGGTTGGAAACACCAACCCACAACAAAACCAAATATGAAGGGATGAAAAATCAAGGAAAGGACCTTGAAGCAAAGAAGGCCCAACAGACATAAGAAGCCTGGCTTTTCATTCCTTCTCCTCCTCTCTTTTCTCAGCGTGTCTTCTTCTCCTCCTTCTTGGGTGGCCTTCCTCTCCTCCTGGTGAGTCCTTCCTTATTCCCAAGCCTTCTCCATATAGGCAAACAGGAGGGAGGTTTTTGTATACACACTTTACAAGCTGACAGCTCAGTTGATGCTTTTTTCCCACTCTCTCTCTAGGTTAAACCCATTGGAATTCATAATGGAAGTCAGACTAAGCTTTGAACAAAGGAAATCCATTTTTAAAATGCTACTGGAAGTGTGAAAATGTAGACCCCTTCTGCACTGCCACATAATGCAGATTATCAAAGCAGATCTATCTGTTTGTTTGTTTATTTATTTAGATCATTTCTAACCCGCCCTTCTCAACCCCTGAGAGGAGACTCAGGGCGGCTTACACCGGCAACAATTTGATGCCACAAGACAAAACACTATAACAAAATAAACATCAGTTTAAAACAGTGAATAAAACTTCAAGGTAAAACAGATTAAAATCCCATTGAAACATTGTCAACAATTCATATAGCCAATTCCAGTCTGATCCAAAGTGCTGTCATTCTTGCTATCCAAAGGCTTGGTCCCAGAACCACGATTTAACCTTCTTCCTAAAAGAAAGGAGGGAAGATGCTGACCTGGTCTTGCTGGGGAGTGAGTTCCATAGGTGTGGGGCCACTGCCGAGAAAGCCCTGTCTCTCATCCCTGCCAAGCACACTTGCGAGGCTGGCGGGACCAAGAGCAGGGCCTCCCCGGACAATCTTAAACTGCAAGGCGGGACGTAGAGGGAGATGCGTTCAATGCAAGGCGGGACGTAGAGGGAGATGCGTTCAGACAGGTAAGCTGGCCAGAACCATATAGGGCTTTATAGGTCAAGGCCAACACTTTGAATTGTGCTCAGAAATGGACTGGCAGCCAGTGGAGCTGACACAACAGGGGGTGGTATGCTCCCTTGTATGTCGCTCCAGTAAGTAACCTGGCTTCTCTGAACTGGATAATCTGAGCCTATACTGCCCTACTGCAGACAGTCTGGATTTTATATGGCAGTTTACAAAGGACTGTAGTTAAAGTGCAAAGACGGTTGAGGAGAGAGTTTCAAAGAGATCCTTTCATCAACACAACTTGTTACCATGAGCTGAATGAGAGATACATTTGAATCAGATGGAACTGTTCAGAATGGCATACTTTCCCACAAAGATGGCATGGAGGGATGATGAGGCGACATTCAAAGTAAACATTCATCGCAGTAGTGTCAAAGGCCCCTTCCATACAGCTGTATAAAATCCACATTGAACGGGATTATCTGGCAGTGTGGACGCAACCCAGTTCAAAGCAGATATTGTGGATTATTTGCCTTGATATTCAGGGTTATATGGCTGTGTGGGAGGGCCCAAAAAAGAATGGTCCAATTACTCCTCTTGATGATGATGATGATGATGATGATGATGATGATGATGATGATATTTTATTTATATTCCACTCTTCTCACCACAAAGGGGACTCAGGGCTGATCACAGTACACATACACAGCAAACATTCAATGCCGCTTTGTATAGACAATACACAGACAGGACAGAAGGAGATGGTTTGTTTCGACTCAGTGTCCAGCTGTTTTTGGTGCCTTGGAAGGTTGGGTTCGAGTCCAGGGGGTGCTGTCGCTCTATCCTCTATGACAAAGAGTTGCCAGGACTTCTTCCTTCCTTCTGGTCGACCAGCATTTTTGGATCATAAAACACCTCCCCCGCTTTTAGCGGTACCTAATTTCTCTAATCACAGCTAAAGCTGTTTTTGAATTGCTTAGATAAACAATGATCAGAAGAGAAGGTTGAGAGGAGACATGATGGCCATGTATAAATATGTGAAAGGGTGCCAGAAGGAAGAGGGAGCAAGTTTGTTTTCTGCTGCCCTGGACACTAGGACTAGGAGCAATGGGTTTAAATGACAGGAAAAGAGATTCCACCTGAACATTAGGAAGAACTTCTTGACCATAAGAAGAGCTATTCAATGGTAGAGCTCTCTGCCTCATAGTGTGGTGGAAGCTCCTTCCTTGGAAGCTTTTAAACAGAGGCTGGATGGCCATCTGTTTCGGGTGCTTTGATTGTGCTTTTCCTGCATGGAAGGGGATTGGACTACATGGCCCATGTAGTCTCTTTCAAATCTATTATTCTATGATTAGCTGCACCACACTGTAACTCCTGGTGAATTAACATGATGTTCCACACTAAGATGCAGGTTAATATCGAGTCTCCAGTAAGTGTAACTGTGGCAATTAACTGAACTATTTTAATTGAATGTTGCCTCATCCCTTCACACCACCTTTGTTGGAAAGTCTGCCATTCTGAACAGTTCAATCGGATTCAAACCTATCTCTAATTTGACTCATGGTAACCAGTCACATTGGTGGATCCTTATGAAACAACCTCCTAAATTGTCTTTGCACCTCAACTACATTCTCATACTTCCAGAAGCATTTTAAAAATGGATTTCCTTTGTTCAAAGCTTAGTCTGACTTCCATTATTAATTCAAATAGGTTTAACCTGGGAGGAAAAATCAATTGAGCTATTGGCTTTTCAAGTGTGTATATTTTTTTAGGGGGACACCCTGTATATATTTATAAGTTAAAGCATGTATATCTGCATGTTTGTTTTTCTGTTTGTTGCTATGTCAAGTGGCCTTCTGTGGTGTCACTGCGAAAGAAAGGTAAAGTGTGTATGAGGGGAAGGGAGGAAGGAAAGGAAATGCCATGGAGACATTGTGATGTAGGACTTCTCAATGGTCCCTATGATGCCTGGGCCACGGCAGGTATATACAGTAGTTAAAAATAAATAAAAAGGGTTGCTGTAAGTTTTTCAAGCTGTATGGCCATGTTCCAGCAGCATTCTCTCCTGATGTTTCACCTATATCTTTGGCTGACAGTGAAGCAAGTGGCATGTATATATAATACCTATGGAATGTCTAAGATGGGAGAAAGAACTTTGTCTGTTTGAAGCAAGTGTGAATGTTGCAATTAGCAAGCTTGAATTAGCATTTGAGTAGCCACGAAGTTTGCAAATTCAATCAGTGAGGATTTGATATTTTGCTGATAATCCCTAACGTAGCAATAACTTGTCTTTGGATAATTTTTTCAGGGAATGTTCCCAAGAGGAGGTGGAAAAGCATCTCGAATCCAATTTACCTCTTCATCAAGCAGTGGTTCAAACATGGAGAGACCCAGTTCACCTGGACTTGAAGCAGGTGGGGCATCCTGGGGAAAAACTGCACAGAAGTTCCTGAATGTGGATCTTTCTAGCTCAGAAATGCAGTGCCAGCGCTTCAGGCATTCCTCCTTCCGAGAGGGTGAGGGACCCAGAGAGCTTTGCAGCCGCCTCCATTCTCTCTGCCGCCAGTGGCTGAAGCCAGAGCAACACACCAAGGCGGAGATGCTGGACCTGGTGATCCTGGAGCAGTTCCTGAGCATCCTGCCCCCAGAGATGGGGAGCTGGGTCCGAGAGTGTGGGGCAGAGACCTCTTCCCAGGCGGTGGCCCTGGCGGAAGGCTTCCTCCTGAGTCGGGCAGAGGACGAGAAGCAGGAAGGACAGGTGAGAGCATTGCCTCTTGGCTTCACTAAAGCTGAACATATATCTAGCTTGGCTAAATATATATTTTGCCTTTCTTCCAAGATGGGACCCAAAGTGGATAATAAGCAAGGCCCTGTCTTCTCTGCCTCTTTTCCTAACCACTCTGCCATGATGCTGCTACACCTATATTCAGTGCAAGCTCTGTAATTCTTCTTCTAAAATTGGATGCCCCAAAGTGGGGCTATGGTTTAATGTTTTGCAATAAATTTGCCGTCTCAAAAATTACTCCTTTAAAAAAGGTCGAAGTGTCTTGTGTCGTATCTTTTCAAAGGAAGATGTTCTTGTTGCTGCTGCACAAAATGTGGCACTTTGGAAAGACAGCATGCATTTTGCAAAGGCAGCCTTGTGCACAAATATCTCAAACCTCAGTGTTTTTTCCTCCCTGGAATTCTCTCTTCTCTTTCAGGGAGTTCAGTTAATTTTCACTTCATCGGACACCGCTCAAAGTCCCCAGGAGAAGAAGCTCAAGCAGGAGAGAGATAAGGCTTTGGCCTTGCAGAGTAAGTATGAGCCGTCTTTGGACACAGTTCCCTTTAGGATAATCACCTTGATGTTTTATGCCTGTGAATGTTTCCCTTTGGAAGGGGTTGGGTATTATTTTTATCCCAACAAATAATTTGAGATTGGGAAGAAGGACATGCAGCACCTTTAGAATTTGACGTGTAGATCTAGGTACACATTCAGTTGCAAAATGTTTTAGTGTTTACTGGTGTTTGCAGTCTTCTTCCGGCAGGCCTACCCAGGCAGTTTTAATGACAAATTTATAAACTTGCAGGAGAAAGTATTGAAAAATTAAGATGTGAAAGATATGACAGAACTATATTGTTTAAGAATTATTATGAATTGAGGAGGGATGAAAGAGGGTGGGTTTCTTTGGAATGAAGGCAGTAACGTGTTGCATTAAGAGATATTGAATTACTGTGACTGTCAATAAAACTAATTTAAAAATTAAAGTTACAAATGGGTTGTAGGTTTTTCGGGCTGTATGGCCATGTTCTAGAAACATTTTCTCCTGATGTTTCGCCTGCATCTGTGGCAAGCATCCTCAGAGGTTCCGGCCATGAAAGCCTTCAACAATATAAAGTTACAAATGTTTAATAATTTTTATAAGGAGATAGTTGCCAGCCCAGGGTCCCCAGTGACTTTCCTGGTTTCATGGGGAGTAGAACCAGATCAAACACCCAAAAGCCTAACTTTTTACAGGGCTAGAAAATGCTACTGTGCTTTCTCATAGGCTTCTTTTTAGGACTATAATTGTCAGCTTTGAGAAAAGCCTATGCAATCTGTTTCTCTCCACTTTGCTGTCTCTCACAGAGGATGGAAAGACGCTGACAGTAAATCCTCAGCTGTCTCTTCCTGTTTCTTCTGGAATGGGACCAAATGAGGTAAGGAGAGGATTCCTGAGTGTCCTCGCAAGACTGTTGCTTTCATTTATTTTGGATTTTTAAAAAATGGCCCAAGTCCATACATAGAATCATAGAGTTGGAAGAGACCTCATGGGCCATCCAGTCCAACCCCCTGCCAAGAAGCAGGAATATTGCATTCAAATCACCCCTGACAGATGGCCATCCAGCCTCTGTTTAAAAGCCTCCAGGAGCCTTCACCACACTCCAGGGCAGAGAGTTCCACTGCTGAACGGCTCTCACAGTCAGGAAGTTCTTCATAATGTTCAGATGGACTCTCCTTTCTTGTAGTTTGAAGCCATTGTTCCGTGTCCTAGTCTCCAGGGAAGCAGAAAACAAGCTTTTTTTTTTTTTTTTTCATTTCCTGGATTTTTAAAAATATGAATGGGGAGGTAACAAAAAAGGTTAATTCACTTTGGCCTCGGAGTTTGAGCTCTTGAAAGGCTTGTTTTGTGCTCTGACAGTCCAGTCCTGAGCTAGTGTCCTTTTCTTTTTTTCTTCTGCTTTTCCCCTCCTAACAAATAGAAAGGAGGGCACTCCTGGGCCAGACTGTAGCCTCAATTACTTCAGTTTTCTCTCCTTTCTCCTTTTTTTGTTTATTATTGCTACTTTTTCCCCAGTTTGGGACTCAAAGCAGCTCATGACAGATTTTAAAATGCGTAGGTAAAATGTAAAACATTCAGAATTAAACACACCTCGGCTCATGAAATAGAAAAGTGTGATGGGCATTACGCAACTCAGTGTTGAAACACAAAAGTTTGCCTATGCCTGGGTAGTAGTGCTTCTTGCACTCCATTCATTGATAAGCTTTATGCGATTAGGAAATGTTTCTTTTTCCACCAGGACCCTTTCACCTTTGAGGACGTAGCTGTCCATTTCTCCCCAGCGGAGTGGGCTCTCCTGGGTGCTGATCAGAGAATCCTGCACACGCAGATCATGGAGGAGACCCATGGGATCATAGCCTCTCTTGGTAAGGCTCCTGCACTGATGGGGACTTCAGAAGTAGTTATTCCCAGATTTTTCTGTTTTAGTCTCATAATATTGTGCTATCAGCATGACTTAAATTGTTGAGTGTTTCACGGTTCAGTTCTCATCTATCTATCTATCTATCTATCTATCTATCTATCTATCTATCTATCTATCAATGCTCTGTGCATAATGAGTACCTTAAAAGCAAAAGAACAAATGAATGGAATCACACCAAATTTGGCAACAAAAGGTCTCACAACACAAGGAGTGACCATCACTCAAAAAATTATGATTTTGTCATTTGGGAATTGTACTTGCTGGGATTTATAGTTCACCTATAATCAAACAGCATTCTGAACTCCACCAATGATGGAATGGAACCTAACTTGGCACACAAGACTCCCATGACCAACAGAAAAGACTAGAAGGATTTGGTGGGCATTGACCTTGTGTTTTGGAGTTGTAGTTCACCTACATTCAGAAAGCACTGTGGACTCATACAATGATGGATCTGGACCAAACTTGGCACAAATCTCATGTTTTCAAGTTTGTGCAAAATGGGAGGAATCATTCTAACCTGATTCAGATTTACTGCAAGGACTGTCTATGTTGTTTTAAGAATAATTTCATTTCATTTCAATCCTTTTCCTCTCACACCGCGCATTGATTTTTTCTGTTCTTCTTCTTCTTCCCAGCAGTTAACTGGCAGAGGAGCAATGCCAAGCACAGGAAGCATTTTGGACACAAAGAGGAGCTTCCCACACACACAGAAGTCCAGACAGAAGAAGAAAGTTCTGCCAGAGAGAGGCCCTTCAAATGCAATGTATGCGGGAAATGTTTTGCCCAAAAGATGGCCCTTGTGCTCCATGAGACATTCCATGTTGGGAAAAACGATTTTAAAAGCAAAGCAACAGAGAAAGGTGTCGATTACAAATTGTCAAATCTGAGCCAACAAGAAATCTTTGAAGGCATTGAAGATTTTGTGTGTCACGAGTGTGGAAAGCACTTTGCTTACAGATCAGTCTTAATGATTCATCAGAGAATTCACACAGGAGAGAAACCATACAAGTGTGAGGAGTGTGGGAAATGCTTCACTCAGAGTTCCTCCTTTTTGTGCCACAAGAGGCTTCACACTGGAGAAAAACCATTCCGGTGCGAAGAGTGTGGCAAATGTTTTGCTCAGAGTTCGTATCTTATGAGCCACCAGAGAGTCCACACAGGAGAGAAACCATACAAATGCCAGGAGTGTGGGGAATGCTTTGTCCGAGGTTCATACCTTGTGAGCCACCAGAGGCTGCACACAGGAGAGAGGCCATACCATTGCCAGGAGTGCGGGAAGTGTTTTGCTCGCAGACCAGCCTTAGTCAATCATGAGAGACTCCACACAGCGAAGAAACCATTTCCGTTTCAAGATGATGGAAAACGTATTTCGCAAAAGCCATCTCTTGTGACTCACGACAGACTCCACATAGGAGAGAAACTATACAAATGCCAGGAATGTGGGAAGTGCTTTGCTCAGAGTTCATCCCTTGTGAGCCACCAGAGGGTCCACACTGGGGAGAAACCATACAGCTGCCCAGATTGTGGGAAATGTTTTGCTCACAGTTCACACTTGGTGAGGCACAAGAGGCTTCACACAGGAGAGAAACCGTACAAATGCCAGGAGTGTGGGAAATGTTTTGTTCAGAATGTACACCTTCTGTGCCACCAGAGAATCCACACAGGAGAGAAGCCATACAAATGCCAGGAGTGCGGGAAATGTTTTGTTCAGGGTTCATACCTTGTGAGTCACCAGAAGGTGCACACAGGAGAGAAACCATACAAATGCCAGGAGTGTGGGGAATGCTTTGCTCAGAATGCACAACTTCTAGAACACCGAAGAACCCACTCAAGATGAAAAAGTTTAGAAATTTATTTACTTATTTATTTCCAATATTTCTATCCTGCCCTTCTCAACCCTCAAGGGGGACTCAGGGCAGCTTGTTGAAATGCCAGTAGCATGGAAAATGTTTTGATCAGGAATTGTACCTTTTGAGTGAATAGAGATTGCACATGGGTGAGAAAACATACACATGTCAGGAATGGGGAAAATGTTTGTTCAGGGACATCTAGTGAAATATCAGACTCCTGAGGTAACTTACTTAACTTACTTAGGCAATCCATTGTAGCCCAAGGATAATGGTTCTCCAAGTGCAGTGTCTGACATTTGCCTGTCTTCCCAAAAGATTTGCAGGATTTTTCAAAGGCAACGCTGATAAAAGTATTCCAGGAGTTGAGTGTGATGTCTGTAGGCAGTCCACGTTTCGCAGGCATATATCAGGGTTGGGAGGACTATAGCTTTATAAACAAGCACCTTGGTATCCCTACGGATGTCCCGGTCCTCAAACACTCTCTGCTTCATTTGGAAAAATGCTGCACTTGCAGAGCTCAGGTGGTGTTGTACTTCAGCGTCAATGTTGACTTTTGTGGAGAGGTGGCTGCCAAGGGAGAGGAAATGGTCAACATTTTCTAATGTTACACCACTAAGCTGTATTTCTGGCATTGGAGAGGGATTGGCTGGTGACTGCTGGAAGAGCACTTTGGTTTTCTTGATTTTCAACGAGAGGCCGAGCTTCTCGTATGCTTCTGCAAAAGATGTTTAGAGTGGCTTGTAGGTTTTCTTCTGAATGCGCACAGACCATGTTGTCATCGGCATATTGGAGTTCTTTAACATATCTTCTTGTGATCTTTGTTTTGGCTTTTAGTCTGCTGAGGTTAAATAGCTGTCCGATAGATGATTTCCATTCCGGTGGGAAGCTTCCCATCAAGTAGATGAAATATCATAGCGATTAGGATGGAAAATAAGGTTGGGGCAATAACACATCCCTGTTTGACACCTAATTCCACCTTAAATGGGTCACTTTGGGAGCATTCTTGAGAATGCCTGCCATAGATGCAGGTGAAACGTCAGGAGAGAATGCTTCTAGAACATGGGCATACAGCCCAAAAAACCTACAACAACCTACTGCTAAGATGTTCACAACATGTATTCATCTGACCTCTAGGTGAAAAATCGAGTGGTAGAGAAGATGCAGCCTTCAAAATAAGACTGTTCCATGTCACCAATAGTTCTTTAGCAATGAGAACTTCTTGCCTCCAGAGAAGATTAGTAATGGAGGAGAGTATCACGTGGCTTTGTTGCTGCAGAACCTCACAGAAGAGGAGGAGGGGAATACCCAAAGATTATGGAGCAATTGAAGAGAATGAAAGATGAATTGATATGGAGTATTCCAGTATGGTTTGAATTGTAAGAAGTGGAGAAATCCTTTATTTCCTTAATGCTTAGGCGACTTGGATTTACATAGTATCCGACTCCGAGTTCAAAAGGTGGATATGTTTCCTGCACCCGTTTGTGTCTTCCTATGTAATGTGCATTTTGAGTTACTCCGATTTTTTTGGCTGTTTGTTTCATTTTGATTTTTTTTTGCATATTTGTGTACAATGTACAATTTTCTATATTAGTATTTGAATTTCCATAGGCTAAGTCAGTGGTTCTCAACCTGTGGTTCTCAACCTGTGGGTCCCCAGGTGTTTTGGCCTACAACTCCCATAAATCCCAGCCAGTTTACCAGCTGTTGAAGGCCAAAACATCTGGGGACCCACAGGTTGAGAACCACTGGGCTAAGTGATAATTTGATCAGTTTCGTAAAACTTAAGCCCCTGGACCCTGTATACTAAGAAAATAAGTGTGTCTGTGTAGAGTATAAATCCAAATTTATAATAAATACAAGCTTACCAACTGGTGTATGTGTTTATGGGAATTTGCTCCTCTTCTTAATATAAGCTATGATAATATATTGCTCCATCAATATTTTTATGGGTCACCAACAACCCTAATGCAGTTGGACAAGAAAGTGATTAAAGATAAAATCTTGGAAATGGATGCACCTGACAACCTGCAGACTAGTAAACAGTAGGTTTTCTCTACTTTGTACCCTCTACTAAAGACTGACCAATGTTGTCAACAGTATTTTCAAGACTTAAGGTATCTTCCCACCAAAAGCCCTCCTCCGCTGTGATTGGCCAGCTTCTCAGCTGGCTTCTCACCCAAGGGAAGAATCATAGAATCATAGAATCAAAGAGTTGGAAGAGACCTCATGGGCCATCCAGTCCAACCCCCTGCCAAGAAGCAGGAATATTGCATTCGAAGCACCCCCGACAGATGGCCATCCAGCCTCTGTTTAAAAGCTTCCAAAGAAGGAGACGCCACCACACTCCGGGGCAGAGAGTTCCACTGCTGAACGGCTCTCACAGTCAAGAAGTTCTTCCTTATGTTCAGATGTACTCTCTTGTAGTTTGAAGCCATTGTTCTGCGTCCTAGTCTCCAGGGAAGCAGAAAACAAGCTTGCTCCCTCCTCCCTGTGGCTTCCTCTCACATATTTATACATGGTTATCATATCTCCTCTCAGCCTTCTCTTCTTCAGGCTAAACATGCCCAGCTCCTTAAGCCGCTCCTCATAGGGCTTGTTCTCCAGACCCTTGATCATTTTAGTCTCCCTCCTCTGGACACATTCCAGCTTGTCAATATCTCTCTTGAATTGTGGTGCCCAGAATTGGACACAATATTCCAGGTGTGGTCTAACCAGAGCAGAATAGAGGAGTAGCATTACTTCCCTAGATCTAGACACTATGCTCCTATTGATGCAGGCCAAAATCCCATTGGCTTTTTTTGCCGCCACATCACATTGTTGGCTCATGTTTAACTTGTTGTTAAACATGAACTCCAAGATCTTTTTCACTCCAAGATCTTTTTCACACGTACTGCTCTCGAGCCAGGCATCCCCCAAGTGGAGAGGGGAGAGCAGGCGTGCTTGGCGCATGGCAGCATGGGGTGTATATGTGGGTGAGGAAGAGCGTAAGAGGATGGAGGGAGGCTCATGCTAGCGAGTCCCTCCATGGCATGGGGGTTCTGTGTGGGAAGTTTGGCCCAATTCTATCGGTGGGGTTCAGAATGCTCTTTGATTGTAGGTGAACTATACATCCCAGCAACTACAACTCCCAAATATCAAGGTCTATTTCCCCCCCAACTCCACCAGTGTTCACATTTGGGCATATTGAGTATTTGTGCCAAGTTTAGACCAGATCCTTCATTGTTTGAGTCCACAGTGCTCTCTGGATAGGTGAACTACAACTCCAAAACTCAAGGTCAATGCCCACCAAACCCTTCCAATATTTTCTGTTGGTCATGGGAGTTCTGTGTGCCAGTTAGTTCAGTTCCATAATTGGTGATTTTAGAATGCTCTGATTGTAGATGAACTATAAATCCCAGAAATGCAGCTTTCAAATGACAAAATCAATCAAATCGCATTCATAGCACCCCGGACAGATGGCCATCCAGCCTCTGTTTAAAAACCTGTGAAGAAGGAGCCTCCACCACACTTGTGGCAGAGAGTTCCACTGCTGAACAGCTCTCACAGTCAGGAAATTCTTCCTCATTTATTATTTATTTACTGTATTTATACCCTGCTCTTCTCAACCCCGAAGGGGACTCAGAGCGGCTTACAGATTATGGCAACATTCAGTGCCGCATCATGTTCAGGTGAAGTCTTCTTTCCTGTCGTCTGAAGCCATTATTTAATTGTGTCCTAGTCTCCAGGGCAGCAGAAAACAAGCCTACTCCCTCCTCACTATGACTTCCCCTCACATATTTATACATGGCTCTTATCATGTCTCCTCTCAGCCTTCTCTTCTGCAGGCTAAACATGCCCAGCTCTTTAAGCCGCTCCTCATAGAGATTGTTCTCCAGACCCTTGATAATTTCAGTCACCTTCCTCTGGACACATTCCAGCTTGTCAACAACTCCCTTCAATTGTGGTGCCCATAATTGGACAAAGTATTCCAGGCGTTCTCACCCTGCAGGGGGTGAGAAAGGTGTGGTATAAATAAATAAAGCAAATAAATAAAGGGAGCCGCAGGTGGCGCAGTGAGTTAAACTGCTGAGCTGCTGAGCTTGTTGACTGAAAGGTTGGCGGTTCAAATCCGGGGAGCGGCATGAGCTTCCGCTGTCAGTCCCAGCTTCTGCCAACCCAGCAGTTCGAAAACATGAAAATATGAGTGGATCAATAGGTACTGCTCCGGCGGGAAGGTAACGGCACGCCATGCAGTCATGCCGTCCACATGACCCTGGAGGTGTCTATGAACAATGCTGGCTCTTTGGCTTAGAAATGGAGATGAGCACAACACCCCAGAGTCGGACACGACTCGAACTAATGCCAGGTGAAAACCTTTACCTAAATAAACAAAGAGATGCAAACACATCTCTTAAATTGGAATAGTGCAGTCTAGGGTGGGGAATGACATATCTCATGAAAACCTTCTACGACTGGACTTAATCTCAGGGGAAAAACCTTTACCTAAATAAACAAAGAGATGCGAGCACATCTTTTAAATTGGAATAGTGCAGTCTAGGGTGGGGAATGACATATCTCATGAAAACCTTCCATTTATATATTTAAAAATATATGATTTGTGGTTTATTCCACATGAGACTCAAAAGCCACACTGCAGGCGAGCCTGAGCCACGGTTTGGAAAGCTCTGGGTTAATAAAGGGAGGGAGTCGGATTCCTAGAGATGGAAAGGAGGCCGTTCTCCAGGGCAGGCAAGCCTCTTCCGCCTCCTCTTTGGCCTCTTTGGCCTCCTGCCTGCTCATTCCATGGCCGCCTGTCTCTCTCCTTCTGGGCCCTGGTGAGTCCCAACCCCTTCTTCTGATCTTCTCCATAGGAGCCAGGATTCTGCATCTGCTTCCCCCCTGATGAGACCCCTGGGGTCAGTGGGGCTTCCCTCTCCACCCAATGTCCATTCCCAGGGGTTTCCTTTGGCCAGAAGAGACAAAAGGGAACCAGGGTGGAGGGGCTTCCAAGCTGTGAGCGAGGAGGAGGCGGTGGGAATTGGGGTGGGGGGGGGGGACTCTCTGCTCTTGCCTTCCTTGCTTCCCCTTTAATGCCAGGGAAGGAAAAGAAGGAAACAGTGTAACCACTCTTTCAGAATGAAGGCAGAGGAAGGCAAAACCTTTTGGCTCTTAATGTTTCCTTTTGAAGTTAGTTTGTTACCCAATTCAATAAATATATACAGTGGGCCCTTTCCTATCCTATGGGGTTGACTTTCAGGACATTGAACTCTGTAGGTCAGTGGTTCTCAACCTTCCTAATGCCGCCACCCCTTAATACAGTTCCTCATGTTGTGATAACCTATCAACCACAAAATTATGTCCATTGCTACTTCATAACTGTGATTTTGCTACTGTTGTAAATAAATAGGGACTGAATGAATCGTCATGAAAATATCTGAAATGCAGGATGTATTTTAATTCACTGGATCAAATTTGGCACAAATAATAATAATAATGCATTGTCAAAAGCTTTCATGGCCAGAATCACTGGGTTGTTGTAGGTTTTTTCAGGCTATATGGCCATGGTCTAGAGGCATTGTCTCCTGACGTTTCGCCTGCATCTATGGCAAGCATCCTCAGAGGTAGTGACATCTAATCATCAGATTAGGACATCTAATCACCTCTCAACAAAAGATTGCTCCAGGCACTGCCAAGCAATCAAATGCCAATCAAGGTGATCAGTTGAAACATTCACACCTAGCTCCAACAGACAAGAGTCCTTTGTCTCACCCTGGTCATTCCACAGATATATAAACCCTTTTCTCTAGTTCCAACAGACCTCACTACCTCTGAGGATGCTTGCCATATATGCAGGCGAAACGTCAGGAGAGAATGCCTCTAGACCATGGCCATATAGCCCGGAAAAACCTACAACAACCCAATTCCTTTTGTTGCTCCTCCCATCATGTTTGTCCCCATATTGCTATTCCCTCCGCCTGTTTGAAGGCCCGTCTCCACTACTCCGTCTCCTATGAGCTTCTCCCATATAAATATTTTCTCTTTAATCTCGATCTCATCCTGAATTTTATCATTTTATCTCGCACATGTGGCCCGCCCTTTGGGATTGATTCTGCATTGTATTATTTTGTATTGTCTTATTGCATTCTTGTGTTTTTATGTATTTAATTGTGATGTTTGTTTTGTTGTTTTGGTTTTATTTTGTTGTAATGTACTGTTGGGCTTGGCCTCATGTAAGCCGCCCCGAGTCCCCTTTGGGGAGATGGTGGCAGGGTATAAATAAAGATGATGATGATGATGATGATGATGATGATGATGATGATGATTAGGACAAGTGAGTCTGGAGGCTGGAGAAGAAGAGACCAAGTCAAAGGAGGGTCCAGCATTACTTTGTTCTGAAACAAATAAAAGACTTTATTTACTCTCAAAAAGAAAAAAAATCCTCCCAGAGCCCCTTGTGTAATTCTTACTTTCTTTCACAGACGCAATGTGAGTGTTGGCTGAGAATTTTGGAGTCGAGCCTGTTCAGAGATTTCCTTCCCTTGAGAGAAGAGGGAGGAAGAGCATCGTGGATATGGTTTGTTTCTTTACCAAAGAGTGGTTCCAACATGGAGAGACCCAACTCACCTGGACCTGAAGCAGAACCTGGGAGCAGTGGGGCATCCTGGGAAAGAACTACACATAAGTTCCTGAGTTTGGACCTTTATAACTCAGACATACAGCACCAGAGCCTGTTAAGGGATTTATTTCCCTTGAAAGAAGAGGAAGGAAAAGCATCTTGGATACGGTTTGGTTCTTCACTAAACAGTGGTTCCAACATGGAGAGACCCAACTCACCTGGACCTGAATCAGAACCTGAGAGCAGTGGGGCATCCTGGAGGAAAAGTACACATAAG